CAGAAAGCATCAGACTCAATGAATTTGTTGGCTTGATCCCAAGTGAGCAGATTTGGGACAAGATAGATTATCTGGATTTCACTGGTGAAGCTAAGCAGACCCTGATTACACTTCTACAATATGGGCTACTCCGTCAACAGCCTGCGGTGTGGTCGCAAAAGGAAACAAAGCTGGCTGTTTGCAATGACACTGAGGCACCCACCCGAAAGCGCAAGGCCGCGGGGCCTCCTGGTGGATCTTCTCTGCAAGGGTGATGGCGAAAGATTGCACACAAGGACTTTTGTCATCAAGTGTGTATGGTGGCTAGTAGCTAGTTGGATCCGTCCTGAAACAAACAGAATAAAGGGGTACCGGTAGCTGAGTCTGTATTCTACCTGTATACCTTTGCCGCTTTGTTTCCTTTGTTTTGGAACCGCCACCCATAAACTTTGTCTTCAGTTGTTACTGGTACTGAGATGCATGACACTTTCTTCGGCCATTCCCCACCCTGATCATTGGATATTTTATTATAGCCAAGGTGGAGGCGGTCTCTTGGTTAGAGATGCGAGAGGGATAAACCTACCGTACGTATGATACGATTTGCTGCACCGGCACCGTACGGTACTGGTCCTGTACGGAGTAGCTACTGGTACCTGGTACCTACATGTACCGGTATCGTAAGACCCAAGGCAATCTATTTAACAGCTCTGCAGGATACAACGCAACGATCTTTGTGGCTGTGATGACGCTGTGACGCAACAGCCAACAGCAAACAGCAACGCCCCCAATCGACGACCCGACCTCACACAACACTCAACCATGAGCTTCTCTGGTGCCTTTGCTCGAACCGCGGCCGTCAGGGGCCCCGTCCTCAGGCCTGTAGCTGCTGACAAGGTCAAATGGTGGGCCAAGAAAAAGGCATGCGATGGAGAGGTACGTTTGCGTGTTGAGCAAGGGCCTTTGTGGATAAGATGAGAATTCACTTGTGCGCTTGTACCTGTCGCTAATCGAATGCATCTCCCTTCCGCACAGATCACACGCCATATTTCTGCTCATGAAATCCACCCTATCGGTCCATGGTTGAAGACTTTCCCCAAGAAGGTGTGTCAAATTGATGTCTTATTTCGATTTATTTCGATTTCCAGTTCCGTTCCAGCTAGTCGACTAGGAGCATGCTCACTTGCCTTGCATCAACACCACTCTCACTGCGATATAGGTGATTGACCGTGCCCCTACTTACATCCTGTACCCTGGTGGCTGCGCTGTCCTCACTTACGGTGTCATCGCCGCCGCTGCTGGAGCTTCCGCAGCAGAAGAACGTTCCCACAGATGGTAAAAGGGCGTTGCCTCGTGATTTTAACAATTTGTTGGTCCGGTTACGATGGTATTTAGTTGCCAGAGACGAGTCTGCGAGCTGCTGCCTTCTACATGTACTAGCTAGCTTCAGATTACTTTCTTTTGGCAGTTAGCAAGATCTAGTTAATCCTTGTCGTTTTGGCTGGGCAATTAGTTCTTAAGTTTAATAAAGGAAAAGTCCATTGGTTCTTTCTACACCACCCAACTGTTCCAGTAGTATCATCTCCTCCGGCTTCGAGCCACTATTGGCTGAACTATCCGGTTTGAGACCTTGGCTACCTCAGTTATTGAGATGATCCCTAAACGAAACGTTTCGACCAGACCCATGTCCCTTCAAACGGGTTCATAATTTCCAGTTTCATCCAAAACTACCGGTAGTCGTTAAAGGGACACACACTTGCCAGCTACTGTAAGACTCTTTTTACGCTAGCTAGAAGTCGCAAGGAGGGAGGGAGATGATTGTCTCGATCTTGGTTCCATTTTAATGGAACATCACGGTTTCTTGTGGCGGGGGAGGTTCCACATTTTCATTGGTCACCCACGGATGGTTCATGACCTCCGAAAGTGTGAGACGGTCTCTCGGGTTCATCTGCAGCATACTCTGCATCAAATCACCCGCTTCGTCGCTCACCATAATCTCCCAATTACGGAGCTGTTCCATCAGACGACCCGACACAATCAATTCGAATCGCAAATCGGTACGGACAGCATTGTCGTACGGAGGGAACCCAGTCAGCATAATGTACAAGATAACTCCAGCGGCCCACAAGTCAATGGCAAATCCATCAAAATCGTTGAGGTTCTCGTACACCTCAGGGGACATGTAATTGTGCTTTCCACATGTCCCCTGAGGTTTCATGAGGCGACGGAGGTTGCCGCGGGTGACATCGGTAACTCCGAGGCTGTCTGGATCGTTGTAGGGGACACGAAGGCACATCCCCATATCAATCACCAAACAGTTATCCGCATCAACCAGCACATTCTCCAGCGAAAGATCACGATGACAAACTCCTTGTTCTTGCAAGTGTTGGAGACCCTAAGATGGCAAAAAATGTTGGAGGGAGAAGCGGAACAGGTCAGGTCGTTTCCGTAATTGATTGGCATAAAAGACAAGAGAACGTAGCTGCACATCACAGCTGTCAAAACTTACACTCAAAATTTGTCGAAACCAAAAACGGGCCACAGGCTCGGGCATACCAATCTCTCCGCCATTCGCTTCGGCGTATTCCACTACAACACTGAACAGATCACCGCCCCGACAGTAGGGCATGACCGAATACAAATAATTATCATCTTGTAGGACTTCGGAACTGCCAAGGACATGGGGGTGATTGCATCCTAATAACTGCATGGCAGCTACTTCCTTGACGGGATCTTCCAATAAACGGCCTCTCATTCTAAAGACACGTTCCCATTCCACCATTTTAATGGCCACCATGTCTCCAGAGATTTCCCAAACTATTGGGGCGTTCGGAGAACCAGGCTCGACTCCAGCAGCCCTGGCAGCATCGTCAGCGGCCACGCCGTGGTGCCTCCTCAATACTAGACAACACCAGACACTCCCATAAATTGCGTCTTGTAACTGCCGATGAGGCCAATAGGCCAAGACTTCTCTGGGCCCCTCGCCATCCGCACCCACTCTAGATGACCTTCGCGGAGGCCCATGAGATAACGCTGAATTTGAATCTCCACCAGAAGGTAGAGGCTCTTGATTGCCACTGAGATCTTCTCGATGGATGACGCCTGAACAGACTTGCCGAGTACCCGATTGCAAGTGGACCACCAAGCAGGCATTTACCCGAACACCACGCAGCACCACGGGAGCTGGAAAGTCCAGAGGACGACAAGCAGGTCCAGAGCGTTCTACCGTATCAAAGCTCTGATGGCCTTGTCGGCCTCCCATTGGTCGGTTGTCCATTATCGCTGGTTGGCTTCTTGGTGTGGATCAATTTACGAAATCTCGAACTGTGTGGGTATACCGATGTCTGCCTCCGATCTCTTATCTTTCAGATTATTGTTGCGTGCCTCCTTCGATCCACTCCAATGGGATATATTTGCTGTTGATCTTGGTCTCAACTGTCACGTTTCACCTAAATAGTAAAGACCACGGCTCAACAAGAGTGTACTTGTGGTACCACTGCAGTTTAGGGCATGCTAATATCCATCGAGATAGCCGAGGGCAGCGAAAGACAGATGCCCCCACTTGATTTGTGCATGCCGTTTCACGCGTTTCGTTTCTTCGACGCGCATCTTTCGGTCATGTCTGCGTCCCGAAGAGACAACTATGGATCGTTAAAGGGCGGTTTGCCTTCACAAGATTGCATGCCTCTTAGCTGTACCGGTAGGCAAGCCAGCTCTGTGTGAGACATGATGCCCCAGCCATGGCATATTTAGCATTGTTTCTATTCCAAAGTTTCAAGTCCATCATAGCTACTTATTAACAGTTTAAAAATTGTTGTTACTCTTTATTAGATGCTTCTTTTAGTACCTGTTGAGATCTAGCTATTCGTCGTTTCCTCCAATCTTCATAGAAAATGGTTTCTCCTTGGATGGTCAGTGACGCTGCCGGGTCCAGCCCCATGAACAAGGCGAGGCAGTGACGGGGATCCTTGCACTTGGTGTCTGCCACCACTCGATGCAGCGTGGAGGGCAGCACGTGGTGGGTGAGTTCCGAAAGACAGTCACCAATGTTAATGACCAGGATGGGATCCTCTGGGACAACCGATGGCAATTGGACATCCACCCATCCTCCAGATCCGTCACTTCGTTGGAGTTTGGCACACCCGGGGCCATCAAACAGGAGCATGGTAATGACTCCCACGTCCGTATGAGATGCCACCAATGGCGACTTGGAGCTGTTTTTCTTGCCTGGTTTGTGGCGGGTGCCCACGGTGTATCCCAGCAGGGTCAATATGGAAGTGTGTGCGGCACTATTGTGCTTGTCGGGCAACAGCAGTACATCGAGAGACAGTTCCGGATGTTGTCGTTGCATGGCATCCGCAATGGCGGCCACAATGGCATTGGCCACTTCACAGGCCGATTGATAGTAGTCTTCCATGGTCGTTTGAAAGGCCGCGGCAAGTTGAGCATCCCACGTTTCATCCGTTGGCCAAATGTTGGGTTGCAAGAGCGAATTGCTGTTTGTGCCATTGTTGTTGTTAGTAATATCTTGAGTAGTGGTGGGAGGCCCCATTCGAAACTTGCGGACCAAATCGTTGGGTCCGTGTGTGCCAATCAAGGAGGCAAAGTTTTCCGTGCACATGGGACTGTATCCCCTTCGTGCTCGATCTTTTGTCAAACACGACCGTCGTACCGTCTCGTCGGCATCGGTGAGGAATGCCTTGGTGATCTGCAACGCCTCGTGACAGACATGTCGAGACAACCCCGTCCCACGAACCAAGGCAAAACCGTCAGCCGCGAGTCGTTGGAGCAATTCATCGGCACATTGCTGTTGCTGATAGGTTGTTGTTTGTTGCTGTGTCGGACCAAGGATGGCACTCATATCCACCACTGCCGCGTCCTGAAAAGTAGAGTCGGCTGCCGAAGATGGTGCAAATGGGAATTGTCGTTGTGCGGGTGGTAGCATTTGCAACTTGGTTTCGTCCATGGCCATGCGATGCCATAGTAACTTTTTACATCCCCATACTTTGAGTGTTCCGTCGTAGAGTTGATACAGCGATGTTCCCATGGTGACTTGCTGCAATGCTTCAATGGATCGATCGTCGGGGACTTCGTCAACTAAATATTGCTGAAAGAGAGTTTGCGGCACAAAGAAGGCATTAAAGAGGGTTGTTTCGACGAGGACGTAGTGGAATTCTTGCGCGAGTTCGACCAATGCAGCGATGGATGCTCCGTGTCGAATAGAATCGTTTCGGGGAGGAATGTAAATGAGATCTTGTGGCATGGTGGGATTGAATTCAATGCAAATGAGTTTCGGACGAAAGGGACTGTTTCGAAAGAGTCCGTCCAGTACCCAATAATCGGATCCATCAATGTCAATACAGAGAAAATCAAAGTCGAGTGGGAAATCGGGAGAGTGTTCGTGGAGTAGTTTCTCGAGTCGATGGGGAGATTTTGGAGTTGTGGAAATGGCGGCCTGGATACAGATATTGCCCCGCGGGGTATGCAATGCCGACAAGTCTTGGAATTTGTGGGGATCTGCTTCGACCAAGAGACCCTTCCACTTGGTATTACTGCTTGTGTTTCCGTTAGTAACCAATAAGGAATAGGTATTGGAAAGATGTTTACCATCCCATGCCCCAATATCCACGCAATAGCGACAAGAAGACGGAGGTAGACAGTCAAAGATTCGAGCAATAATGCCATCTTCCCCATTTTGACTCGTAGTATCCGAGGCATAACGGATCAGGCCATCTCGTCGGCGTCGACTCACAACTTGACGATGTCGGATAATGGGCTTGTCGTTGTTGTTGTTGTTACTGTTATTGGTCGCCATGGTTCATGGTTGCTATTGCTATGCGGTATTGTGATGGAGATAGAAGAAGAGGGGAAGAAAATCTTGATACCTCAGTCCCGAATGGATCTTTTTCTCGTGACTCAAGAGAACCCTCATTTCGCCATTCATTCCCATGTCATCCTTTCCATTCTTTCTCGTCGCTGTTCTGATAGAGGGATCAGACCTACCTGTCAACCTTGACGCCTCGGATATCATCTCTCCAGTTGTTACTTTCACAAAAGAAAAGGAAGAGAATAAAACATCATGGCTTCGTCTCTGGTATCTCGTTCTCTCCGACCCTCGTTGCTGCGTGCTGCAAGAAAGACTACTACGCTTCCTAGTGCTACCACACCCTCCAGTTTCTTTTCCACAGACTCCAATGACAACAACAATAATAATAATAAGAGAATTGCCCTCGTGATTGGATCTTCCGGTGCCTTGGGATCCGCGGTTTCGCACTACCTCTCGCAACAAGTTGGAATGCACGTCCTGGGAGCAGATGTGATCGAGACTCCCGAAATGCCCTTGGATGGATTCATCTCCTTGGCCACCCAAAGCCCCTCGGCCGCCAGTGTCACCATGGAATTGGCGTCGGGAATACATGACATGCTGGAGGAGACCGAGGAACTTGATACCATTGTAGTAGCTGCCGTAAGTTGGCCTGGTTCAATTCAATCATTCATTCAATATGACAACTCAGTCAGTATTATAAAAAATCATGACTCACGCATGTTTTGTTTGCTCATTATTTATTTTCTCTGCTAACTTGAATTCTACTACTACTAGGGAGGTTGGGCCGGAGATACCAGACCCATGACGGGCCAGCAATCTCTCGCCGAGGAAATACAAATGGATGCGACACTCTACGGGAGCAATATTGATACCATGATACAAATGAACTTGATACCCGTCATTGCGGCAGGATATGCCGCCCAAAGATTCATGGGGCCAAATGGTATGTACATGCTTCATTTAGTTTGCCTTTAGAGTTTTGGTTCCTGGACCAAACTCAAAAACACACGTTCTTGTTGTTGTTTTGTTCATTTTCATTTCCATCGTCAGGCTTGTTTGTCACCATTGGAGCGACGGCAGCACTTTCCTCCACTCCAGGAATGATGGGATACGGGCTCACCAAAGCGGCGGCACATCATATCGTCCAAACCGTGGGAGCCACCACGGGCAAATCATCCCTCGAAACCAAAACCAAACAAAAGGCGGGACGACACTATCGACAATACGCCGCCAACTTGGATACCCTTTCAGCCGTGGCCATTTTACCCACGACCATCGACACGCCCTCGAATCGACATGGCATGCCCCAAGCCGATTTTGACAGTTGGACCAAACCCGTGGATATTGCCGAACAAATTGGAACATGGGTGACCACGCCACAACTCCGTCCCCATTCGGGGGCATTGGTCAAAGTCACTACCATGGCGGGGAACTCAGTATTTGATCTGGTTCGTTGATACCACTACTTGTTTTTAAAATTAATTATTAAGCTAGCTACGTAGGAAAGATCCCTTTGGAAACTCACTCACATCATGGATAGATTGGACTCATTCATTCATGACAAGCCTTGGTTCTACAGAGGTGTCGAAAACATTTACTTTAGCTAGTTAGATTACACGCGTGCTGTTGAATTCAAGGAACCGAGATCAGATCCTTTTGGGATTATTTTCAACAACTCTCGCTGGCTTTTAGAAATCCATCCACGACAAGAACCCTTCAAAAGCTCCAAGCAACGCTTCTGCGGCGGCATTTTTTGGACCTTGTCGCCATCCGATTGCTGTTGTTGGATAGATAGCCATCCGTAAGTTGCCACCAAGATGAGCTTGATGTGTGGTTGTTGTTTGTCCTGAGCTGTGGGTTATTGGTGTGCTTGGCTTGCTGTGTGGTAGCTGTTTGTGTGATTGCCTGTTCCTCAGGATAGAACAAAATAGATGTTTAGCATGAATGGATCTTTTCTGTCTCCAGGAATCAATCTCCCGTCATTGCTTTGGATTTTGGTCGAATCGATGAATCGCTCACTAACTTTTCCTTGTAATTTCTCTTGCAACTACAAAAAAAATTTGTACTACTTACAGTATCAGTATCTAACAATCATGTCCTCCTCTGATGACGACGATGGCTCTCGACGAGCAGAAGACGAAGACGAATCTCCCACCAAATCAGTCTCGCAAGCATCGCTGCCCGCCGTCGAGATTGACGAACCCGACGATGACACTCTGCGTGTCTTGATTAGCACTGACAATCATCTCGGATATCTGGAATCGGATCCGGTCCGTGGCCAAGATTCCTTTGCCGCCTTTGAGGAAGTCTTGTATTTGGCCAAACTCCACAAGGCCGACATGGTGCTGCTGGGTGGAGATTTGTTTCATCACAACAAACCGTCGCGACGCACTCTCTACAAGACCATGGATATTCTGCGACGCTATACCATGGGACCCGATCCCGTCAAAATTCAAATTCTATCCGATCAAGCCAAAGATTTTCGAAACATCCACGGAGGCGTCAATTACGAAGACGAAAACTACTCGGTCGATTTGCCCATTTTTAGTATTCATGGGAATCACGATGATCCATCACGAGATCCTGGCAGTAAGTACTAGTCTATCTATATGCATCGAAATCTGAACATGGATTATCCTCATCTTAACCTTTCATTCCTCATTCCATTTCTTCCGTCTGTTTCTGTTTGCACTGTCTGTCTGTATTCTATTCGATTATTAGGCAACACCATGTTGGCCGCTCTGGATTTACTGTCGGTTTCCAACTTTGTCAACTATTTTGGACGACAAGAAGAAGTCAACAAAGTCGAAGTATCGCCCGTACTCGTTCAAAAGGGAACCACCAAAGTGGCCCTCTATGGACTCGGTAATATGCGCGATGAACGACTCTCCCGCATGTGGCAACAGAAAAAGGTCAAGTTTCTACGACCCGACAATAATCAAAATAATAATGATGACGATGATGACGATGACGATGACGACCAAGAAGAGCAAGACTTTTTCAATATTTTCATTCTTCATCAAAACCGAGACAATATGGGACGCGGCGCTAAAAACTGCGTCCATGAATCCATGATTCCCAGTTGGATGGATTTGGCCATTTTTGGACACGAACATGCCAGTGAACCCGGCCCCTCGGAAAGTCTCGTTGGGACCTTTCGCATTACACAGCCGGGATCCACTGTTGCTACCAGTTTGACTACCGGAGAAGCCGAACGCAAACATGCCATTATACTCAATGTCCGCGGCCCACAGTTCAGAATGGAGGAGATCCCCCTCACCATGGTACGGAGTTTTGTCATGAAGGATGTCTCGCTGCAAGAACACGATAACTTGGATCCAGAAGATCCCAAAGTCGATAGCAAAATCACCAAAATATTGGAAGAAGAATTGAGAATGTGGATCTTTAATGCACAAAACAAACAAACGCAACTCTTGCAAGACGCCGAAAAGGCAGGCAACTTTGCCGCATCGGATCCGTCGCCGCTTCAGTACCATTTGGAGAAGCGAGATCAAGTCTTGGTGCGACTGCGGGTGGAACACACTGGCTTTACCACGCTGAACAATCAACGATTTGGTGCACGGTTTGTGGGAGATGTGGCCAATCCAACCGACATTTTGCTCTTTCAACGCGCCAAGAAACAACGAGCGACCAGTAAGGGCGGCGGCAAGAAACGGTCCACAGCGGATGCACTCGAGGAACCCATGGAACCAATCGAATTGCAAACGACCAGCGTAGAGACACTTGTGGCGGACAATTTGATGGTAAGTACATACATGTAGATAGAGAGAAGGCGATAGCTGCCACGTCCTAGATGACGATTGATGTTGGTGCATTCATTGCTCATGCTTGTTTTTAATCCGTGTTGCAGGAGTCACAAGCGAAACTGAATATCCTCCCTGAGAAGGCATTGGCTGCTGCACTCGAGGAGTTTGTCGACAAGCTCGAAAACGGCGCCATCAATGAAATGGCAGAGAAAGGCCTCAAGAAAAAGCAAAGATACCTCATTAACAGCGCCAATAATGGAGGGGACGAGGAGGCTGGAGAGGCAGTCAACTCGGCTCAGGATGTGAAGAAACTATTGGAGAAATACACGCAACAAGAGGAGGAACGCACCCAGAGCAAGCGAAAGCGGGCTGGTGGCAGCGACGATGATGAATCCGCCAGCGAAGAGGACCTGCTGGACAAGGAAAACAAAGCCAATGGCAAGAAGGGCCGTGCCAGTCCGAAGAAATCATCCTCCAAGTCAAAGTCCAAAGCTTCCACATCCATTGACATTGATTCCTCTGACGAGGACATGGTAGCGGCCACGCAAAGCAGCGCCAAATCGTCCAAGTCTCGTAGCCGAGCAAGTACAACTTCCAGCAAGTCCGGAGGTCGCAAGAGTGGGGATATCCGAGACTTTGCTACCAAACGAAGTTCTCAGCCGTCCGCGTCTCAAAAAACCTCGTCCAAACGCAAGAAGAAGGAGGTTGTGGAGCTCTCGGACGAAGACGAGGATGATTCGGAGGTTGAAATCGTTCAGAGTAAGAAGCGCGTCCCTGCACAGCGTCGTCGAACAGCTCGGGCCAAGGTCAACTACTCCTACGACAACTCGTCCGACGAGCAAAACTCGGATGACGACTTTGATGCTCCTCCTCCGAAAAAGAAGTCTCAGACGTCTCGGGGAGGAGGAGGCCGCAGCCAGGGTCGGCGAGGAAAGAGTCAAGACAGTTCCGTTGTCGACTTGGATGACAACTGGGGCAGCGCCTCTACGCGACGCTAATAAGTTTGCAACTTTGCGAAAACGACAAAATGGACGAGGCCAGCATGAACCATACTGTATTGGCACCAACAAATTCGCGGCACAGTGCTATGTGGAGGCAATCAATACAAAAACTCCTAAAACTGTAGCAGTATTACTTCCAACTACCGGTACACTTGCAGCTTCATTGCAGTGCAAGGCATGCGTTGAACCGCCGGAGCAGGGTAAGGGGGCAGGACTGATGCCCATCCCTGTTGGGTTGTCAGAAAGGCGGAGAGTGTTCGGTAGTGGATAGCACTTCTTTCCGTTGTTGTCTTGATTACCAGTAGGCACAGGCAACACGCGAGAGGACCTTTTAATTAAATGGCCAGCCCGCATTGGTTGTCAGCAGTGCCGTAAGAAGGCGGGTGTTGGGTATCGCCGGAAAAGAAATCATTTGTGGAAGGGAGAGCTGACTAGAGGATAGGAAGTCCATAACTTAGGTTAAGCGTTGTATAGCTAGCTTGACAAGGTCATTTTGCATGCGGGAAGGGAAAAGTCTTTGCTGTACATATCTATAGTACTGCGTCAAGAGCCATTAGCTTGGTGGATGCTGGTCGTTCGGGAGATCGTTGTGAAAGAGTCGAGCAATGATGGTGTTGTAGGCAACTTGCTGGTGTTTGTCATCGCCACAATGTGCTTCTATTCGACGAGGTTTGGAAGGACGTGTATTCGTTGCTTTCGTTCGATGACGGAACGAATGAGGAATCACCAGCTTTTCCTTCGTTTTCTTGTCGACATTATGGAGCCATCCTTGACCCTCTTTCAATCGCAACCAAGTCACTCCGTCTTCTTCCGCGCTGGTGACGCGTTCAATGATCACAACGGTTTCCCCCTCGGCTACATACATACCGGTCGCCTCGGAGTCGAATGATGGGCCCTTTCGAATAGGCAGCCCTGCGCTGATCGCAATTTGATAGCGCCAGCCTTGTTGTTTGTTCCTTTCAATCCGAGGCGGTCCAGTCTTACACTCCCGCAGGAACCACTCGTCCTTTTCTTCGTCAAAGATTTGAACCCACTCAGCTTGAGCCGTCAAACTGGCAAGGTGTCTGAAATCCGACTGGCCTTCGTTTGCTGTGTTGAGACGAACGTGTCGATTGCGGTATAGCTTAGCAAATGATTCAGACAGAGTTCTCCCATTGTTGTCCTCAAAGTAGACTGTCATCACTTCTGACGCACGAAGAAATTCCCCGCATTCGAAACGAAAGTAGACCCCGTCGTTGGACTTGATAGACGGAGCTCTTTTCGAGGGACCCAAGCGGACCTTGATGCCTCGTTTGGAATGGACGCGAAACCAAAAAGAACCAAATCGAGACTGAGGTGGATTGCGGCGTGGGCAGACAATGCAAGTGGGCTTGCCGTTTGCGAACAGGGGAAGCCAACCCTGCCCACCACGAAGCCTAGCGTACTCAGGAGGAACATTACGGTTTTGATCAGTGGGAATTTGGGGCTCCACTCGGACGCAAATGCCACAAGGCTTACGGAACAAAGGAGAAGACAACACAGCAAGGTTAGAACGAGTCCAAAATGTGCCGGGCATACAGCTTCGATGTTTGCTCCACTACTTACGATAGTGCTGCTTGTGAACTGCGGCTTCTCGGCAGCCTGGTCTTTTCCCTTGTCGACAGTGTTTGTAGGATCAGCTTCTGATCGATTTTTAGCTCGAAACATAGCATCCAAAAAGGAGCTGCCTACAGACGAGGCCACATCGGAACCTGAATCACTCTTGCCGACATCCGGGTGGTCATTCGGGTTGTTGTCCTTGTCGGGGCTGACAGGAGGTGATGACCCTGGGCTACTCCCGGGGCTCCCATCCTTGTTGAGCGGAACCGGAGGAGGGGCGCACACAATCTGGGCTCCAGCTCTCGACAGAACACGCATCCACACGTCGTCCGTGACATCTTCCCCAAATACAATGCAGTTGCCAATTTCTTCATAGGCTCGCATGTTCTTTTGCCGACCGCCATCGCTGGTGCGGAACTGATGCTCTAGTTCTTCTCGGTGTGGGACAATGGCCCAACCACTATTGTCAGCCAATTTGATCAATCCAGCACCCTGATGAAACAGCGCATTGGATGTTTCCATGCGTTTCGAGGCTTCAAAGACGGCTCCTCGTGGGAGGGTCCTTGTTTTGGTGACCGAGTCAAACACCACAGAGTTCTCTGCCGGATTGGTGGTGGCAATCCGTCCAGCCATGGTGTGAAACAGGTGATGCTGTCCCTTGTTCGCCGTCAGGCCATCCGAGCAAGACTGTTGTTGGGTAGTGCTGTTGGTGGTAGTTCCATGAATGAGGTTGTTGACTTGAAAATGAGGTGCATCCAAAATGCGCAGCCCTCGAGGTGCTGTGACCCTCATGAGAAAGAATGTCGCATGCTGCGGTTGAGGGGGGAAACTAATGTTGCTCTTAGTGGAGCGAGCGACAGATCGATCGGGCGATAAGGCGCCCGATTTGTTGGTGTGGGGATTTTCGTGGGAGGAAAACGATTGTTGTTGCTGTGGATCCAATCCCAACATGGAGTCATCTGAGAGCAATGATACATTAGAGGAAGGAGTTTGGAGTCTGTCCGAGGAGAGGGATGGAACAGATAGACTGGTTGGATCATGATTCCTCGTACGCGCCGTTGTAATGGACGAGATTCCAGGACCATGAACGTGGCGCAGGTCTGCCTTGGTAGTCTTCTGGCGTCGTCTCGGTGGTCGATGGCGCCGATTGGGATTCCTCGCCGTCGACGACGGAACCGATGCGGAAAATACCGACAGCACGGATACATTAGTGGCTGCATCGTCTGCATGACTTTGTTCCGTCTTGGAGGCATGAATTTCGTCCGTGACATCCTTGACCAATGGCTCCTGTCGCGTACGACCACGACGACTGGCAATGTATCCTTTTCGTCTGGCCAGACGTAGAAACAAGATTCCATCATCGCCATCCTCTAGTTTCATACGGAAGGAGACTTCATGGACCGTTCCTGGCAAGACCATTGCCTTGGAGAGTGGGGCGTCAGTGCTGGGTCCGGAGAGTATCGGCAGAGGGGTTGTCGACACGATTTTGTAAAAGAACCGTCCATGTTCGCATTTGGGAGGTCTTGTGAGTGGTTGTACAATGGGTGACTTGTTTTTGTGGTTGTGTGAAAAGACGAATCCTTGGTGGTTGACGCCTTCATGCTGACATCGTATTATTGGGTCACTGGTGGCTTCCAGTGTGGAGGGATCGAGGGGGGTATTGCAGCTATCGTGATCGTCATTATCCGAAGAGGAAGAGTGTGATATAGCAATGGTAACCGAGGGAGAAGATGGATCAGATGATAGAGCAGTTGTGGTAGCATATCCGTGGATAACATTGGATCGCTTGGGTGTTTCCGAGTGATTGGATTGCGAATTGTGGCAGTTGGATGGGTCTGGAGGATCAAAGGCATACCCTCCAGTGAGTACTTCGTCGACCCGTATTGCTGTAACGTCTTGTTCCGTTGGTATTCGTCTTCCACTCTTGATAACTTCCCCATAACTCAGATAACAACCACTCCGCAAAGACCCTGGCTCTGGCTGTGAGAGCAGTGCCACTACCCCTCGGTAGACTATTCTGTAGTATTGACAATTGTCGTCATTCATCAAGTGTTGCGGTTGTCGTATAACAAAGTCATGTCCACTGCTGTCACTCTTCTTCTCTTCATCATCGTCATCTCGACGCAAGTGTTGAGGTCGGAAACTACGGGGATTCTTCTCCATGTGTCTGCTTCGATGGTGCGCGTGCAATCGACGACGATGATGAGAGGAAGATTGGGAAGACGAGGAATGAACGACCCTCAGATCATCGTACTGCTGCCGCGATGAGTCGCCATCGTGGGGTGTTGTCATTGTGCTGAGCTACTAGTACTCGGGTATAGTAACGGGTTGGGTAGCATGCGGTATATCCCAAAGAAGTTCTATGGAATTGTTAAACGAAACAGGTTTTTCGCTGACAGACTCCGATGGCAAACGGAGACAAGGATAAAAGCTTCCTATCTCCTCTTTCTCGCTCAGTGCTGCCACCTCCTGATGCTTGAGACGTCTGTTGGGATGGCCATGCACTTCTATCGTCTTCTTCTACTCAGCGTGAAGTTTGCTAGTGCGCAGAGAGCTGCTCCGCCCTTGGCAGCCAAGCTGGTTGCGCGTGGTTTTGGCGGTGGCGGACGTTTCACCCGTGCCGAGGACTCGCACTGAGGATTGTTCTTCAACGGAACCAAGCTGTTTTGGGTTGGAAATTTTTGGACCGAGGTGGGGGGCATTCCAACACCCACACTCTATCAGGGATGGGGATAAACAAAGCTGCATTATTATTGTTATTTGCTTCGGCTACGCAAAAGTTGATATTTCTTGGCAACGTTTCCAGGCACTCGGCATCGGCAACCCAGAACTCTGCCCCAACGGAGCCCTTTCGGTTCTCGATGCTATGCTACCCTCATAAGAAGAACGAAAGAAGGCTTGTTCAAGCCAATTAATTTATCAATAATCAGAAAGATGGATCATACTACTTCCAATGTTTCAGTTTGTGCGGGTGCAAACGACGACGAAGAACAAGGAGGACCACGTCAAAACAATACCGAGCCTGCCGCCAAGGGGGAACTCCCGCCACCACCACTGCATCGGCAGCCATGGTCTTGGCTTATCCTGGTGGGAACGTTGCTACTTATCGTGGGAAATTGCAGCCGTTGGTTGTTGTGCCATGGTTGTCCCGACTTTGGTGGCGACGACGAACCAATCGCTGCCCTTAGCAATGCCGAGAACAACTTTGCAATCTCCGAGGACCAACCCATCATCCAGGAACAAAACGGAGGAACACAGGAAGTCATCGCAAATCCGGATGGCAATGTGGAGCCAGCAATTTTCCCTTCTCTTGAAGGAACACAAGTCCTCGCCAGTGGAACGAATAAGGATGACAATGTTCAACAGTTGTCCCTTCTCTTGAAAGAGCACAAGTGCCTGCACAAGTCAGTGATTTGAATGAAGCGGAACCGACGACAGCCCCGTTTGTCGGTGTCAAGGCTGTTCACTACGAAATCAATGTGACCGCTGTCAGTGACGACGAGTCCTGTGTAACGACAGGGTCCATTCCAGGTTTTACCTTGGAATGCCCTCTTGGGATTGCACTGACATCTCCCTTCGACGAAAAAATGGCACGCAACCAGCGAACGGGTGGTGGAGTGTCATGCCATGGACAGTATGGAGTTTGCCTGTTATGCCGAGAGTGCTTACGCCAGTCAACTGTCGGTTTCTGTGACAACCCACAGCAAGGAAGGATATTTTTGTGACAAACATCTCGACACTACACGGGGTATGACCGGTGGTGCGCTTTGGGAGAGGTACTTTTACGGTGGCAGTTTGAGCCATCAAGTAAAGCTTTCAACGTTATGTATGGCCAATCCTTCCCTTTCTACTCATGCCGGTTCTTGTCAAGCGGAAAATTTTTGTGCCATTGGATCTTTTGGAATTGGATGCACTGGTGAGGAGGACTGCCATGCCAATGTCTCTAGCTTTGAGACGACTGCGGTGCCAGGAGCTGTTCGAAACTCGTGTCAACAGGACTTTCCTTTGGATGCTCCTGTGGGTGATTTCTGTGAATACAATGTTCAGTGTGATTCAAATACATGTATTGGCAACGCTTGCGTTGCTGAGAAATTAGAAATCGGCTCTACAGGCTGCGAAGAAGATGACGATTGCTTGTCGGGAGCTTGTGCATCTGTGTCAATGGGACAGCTTGATGAAATCATCTGTTGTGAATCTGGTCAAAGCTTGGAAACAGAAGAGGGCCAGCATGTCTGCACCGGACAATCTGAAGGTGAAGATTGCTTCGATGATTTGTTGTGTGAAAGCCATGTGTGCTTGTTTGGAAGATGTACCCTGACACAGCAAGAGACCATGATGCCCTGTTAACATGGTCCACATTGTCTCTCTGGGGGTTGTGGCATCAACAGTCCCAGCCAAAACTACAACTGCTGTCACAGTAATGCAACCCTGGATATTGAAGGTGTTCCATATTGTGCCAATCTTGACACGTCATCCCTGTGTGTCAATTCATCACTATGCCAAAACAATGTATGTGGAATTGAGCACTACAGCACGGAAGCCAGCACTGTGCTGTCCATCTGGCACCAGTGTGGAAGAATTTGAACCTGACTGTGGAACTTTTTCCTGGTGTGAGGAGACGTACTGTGCTGGACTCGATTCTGACATTCAATGTGGCTCTGATTCCATGTGCCGTGCTGGTTCCAGTGGCAGTGCTGCTTGTGCAAGGGAGACTTGGGGTGGCAGTGACCTTTATGTCTGTTGCTCCACTGGATCAAAAGTCAACCTGATAGATCCTGACTGCGGAACTTCCTCCTGGTGCTATTTTGACTACTGTGCTGACCAGCCAGTTGGAGCCGCATGTGGCACAAACAGCATGTGTGCTTCTGGCACTTGTGTGAGTGGTCTGTGCACAAATGGGACCAGGGATGATCTTATGAGTTGTGATGAGGCAAACGATGGTAACAGTGGTGCATGTGGCTTGGAGTACTACAGCATGGAAGCCAGCTTTGTGTGCTGTCCATCTGGCACCAGTGTTGAAGAATTTGAACCTGACTGTGGAACTTTTTTCCTGGTGTGAGGAGATGTACTGTGCTGGACTTGAATCTGGTATTCAGTGTGGCTCTGATTCCATGTGCCGTGCTGGTTCCAGTGGCGGTGGTGCTTGTGCAAGGGAGACTTGGGGTGGCAGTGATGTATATGTCTGTTGTTCCACTGGATCAAAAGTCAACCTGATAGATCCTGACTGTGGAACTTTCTCATGGTGCTATGATGACTACTGTGCTGACCAGCCAGTTGGAGCCGCATGTGGCGCAAACAGCATGTGTGCTTCAAGTGTATGCCTTGAAGGCGCTTGCCTGTAGTAAAAGTTATAATCATAGGCACCCACCAAGAGTGCTCAAGCAGCTACAAGTCGAGTCCAATAGTGGTGGTAGCCAGGGACCATGCTTTCTGTGGCATCTGTGTAGTGTACTTCAGAGCGCCAGAGTACCAGTGGGTGTCTTTAACCTGATACCTACCTGCCGGTAGCTTGACTGGTACGGTAGCAAAGAATAGTGGTGGCAAAACCTCACCCTCGGGTTTTCATGATGACTTGACTCTTTGGTACTGTAGCGATGGATGGGATGTGGATGCCGAGTTGCTTTTGCGGGAGAGGATTGGAAGAAGAACCAAGAGAGCTGGAGGCCCAACCGGTTGTGGGATTGGTTGGGCGTCAGAACCCACGGGAGTTGAGTCGCAGTCTTTCCGCGTCATACCGTGCCCCCCGTCGCAACGTCAGCGCTGTCTCAGCAGCAACCTTCAACATAAGGGGGATGATGGGCTCCTCACTCGAAGCATCGTCAAAGATCGATCTGAATTGCTGAGTTTTTGTCGGAGGACTTTCCAACTCCGACTATTAGCTCTAGCTAAAGCCTACCGTTGCATTACGCTGCACCTACCGTACGACCCAAACCGCAAGGAAGACGGCACCCGCATCGGGAGCGAAAGGAAGAAAGGAGTTGCTTTGGTTGTCTCATTCATCAGAGCTAAGGAAGAAGAACGCTCCTTGAGGGACCACCGTAGTATACCCATCCCGTCCACGATGCAACCCGGAGAGCAAGAGCCCGTGACAAGGCGACCTCAGTATCACTTCTTCTACGGCAGCACGGATGATACTCGCTCGAGCACCAACACTCAGCAAGAGCAAGAGTCTTTGCTACTAGGAGAATCCTTGGTTCCCACGGATAATGAAGAGGAAGCTCCCAACAGTTCGGACTACGACCTGCAGCATGTCCTGATATCCAATGGACCAAATGATGGAGTCCGTCACGTCATGTCCAATGGCCACAGCAGCAATGTACCCAACAACAATCATCCCAAAGGAGGCAGCAATGGACATCCCTCGTTGGAAGACCCCAAGTCATCCACCAATCAACGCTTTCAGTGCTGCAATCTACTACAGGAACATCATCCCACTGTCCATATCATTGGGCTAGTAATTTGCATGACAGTCTGTATGGTCGTATTTGCCATTACTCTCTTTCCAGCAGGATCCCAACGAGCTGCGGATGCTCTGGGAGGAAGTGGCGACGGACTACGAAAATTTGTGCAGACTTTCCCCACTGTCGATCGATCCAAAACCAACGATCCTCTGCATCTCTTTCTTGACAAGGATCTATTCCATCCCAACTTGCTCTATTCCGGCAGCAGCAACAACAACAACAACAACAAGAATCCACTGCGTGTCTTTAACTTTGCATTTCCCACGGGAGCTTTTTGGACCAACCTTGTACTCCCTCCCACGGCTGATCGAGGCATTTCCTATCCCATTGCCGTCTACCCGTATGCCTACAAGTGGGCCGACAATATGCTCGTGGCGTCCTATCCGGCCCTTCATCGAAAGGAAGAACCCAAAGCCATTCATGATTATTTCAAACCGGATCTGACGTTTAGTGTCACAGAGAAGGACATGTCACAACGATACATTACCAATTTTGATCCACTCAGTGTCACACTGCAGTTCTCCAATGGAAAGGACGAAAGTTGGTCGACCTATCTCGTACAGGGATCACCCTACGTGACGATTGAATACGACAATGTGACACCCACCATCCGAGCCTTGTCCACTTTCAAAAATGTCATTTGTCCCGATGAAATTACCGTTGACGATACCAATGGTGGCGAAGAAGAGTTTGATGACAACTTTAACGATGATGACGCGGGTGATGAAGGATCTTCGAGAAGGACAAGAAGGAGACTGCTAGGAGTATGTGGAGCTTCGGTAAGTGACAAACCCTGTGGATGCAATTTGCATGATGTAGCCGTACGGTAGCCACCATATCAGGACGATTGCAAGTGCATGACAATGTCTAATGTGTCATCTGTCGTCTGATCCATTTCTGTTCCCAAAAGGTCGACAGCACTGACAGTGGTTTGACTGTCCTCCGGGGTGTTCAATTTGTATTGCAATCGCAGGAAGGAGTCAACTGGATTGCCTTTTCCTCGGAGCCCATCTCCTTTGTGTACGATACTAGGAGAAGGACCACCGTAGTGGCATCGAAAGTATTCAAAGGAACCATACGATTGGCCATTATTCCACCTTCCAGCAAAGTTACCGATTCGAAAGGTACGATGCAAGTATCGTCGTCGACAGGATTGCGACGTTTGGTATACCATGCATCTGTCTATCCGGTGGGTGCCACTGTGGATTATGATTTTCGAGATCCAGCCGTGACGACAACCACCACTTCTGTCGGGAAGACCGTCTTGTCTGGGTTGACCGGAGGTGGTAGTGCATCACGGACCACTAAAACGACTTCCTCGAGTGACCGGGTCGCAGCAGTGCACTTTCAATTCCAAACCAAAACTGCCAACAGCAATGCCAACGCTGCTGCTGCCGCCACCGGCAAAACAACGGGTCTGCTGATGCTATCGCTGCCGCATCACGCAACATCCTTTACTCGAACCCACGTGCTCGATTCAAAGCATTTTGACTTGGTGTATCAGTGCATCAAGGGTACCATGACACCGGTAGTGGGATCGATATGGACCTACGAAGAAAAGTTGCTTCCAGTTGGATTTGAGCCCTTTGCACAAGACGGGACGTCATCGATACTATCCGAAAAAGCAATTCGCAGACTGTTGGCTGACAATCTGGAGGACGACCTGAACATTGCCTTGCCCACAAGAACAGAAAATATCTATGGCTTTGGCAAGCAAATTGCAAGGCTGGGACAGCTAGCTCATATCGCCGACGCGCTGGTGGGCCCGACTGATAATGCCAACGACAATAACAAGACCTCCACGAATAGCAGCAAAAGCAACACAAACGCTTCCAGTGGCCTGGACGCAAGGTTGCTCAGCATCAAGAATTCCGCCATGGAAAAGCTATCCAGCTTTTTGGAGCTCCTGTTGACTAATCAGCTCTCGGATTCCTTGTTGTACGATGCTAGCGTTGGAGGTCTGGTGAGCAGTGACGGGCTGGCTGATTTCAATGCTGACTTTGGAAACGGTAGATACAATGGTGAGGCTTACCCGTCAATATCAAGTTTGCTTACCGACGTGTTCGTCCCAACTCATTATTGTTGTGCTCTGCGAACAATCGCTTTGCTCTCCCTGTACTTTCCAGATCACCACTTCCACTATGGGTACGCGCTCAGATACCATACGAATACTTTACTTTATGCCTCGACGAAACTAACCGCTTTCGCCCGTTTTCAAACCAATCAAATCGTAGGTACCTTCTGTTTGCCTGTGCTATGCTGGGGAAACTAAACGCTACATTTGTGGAAACCTATGGGGACCGAGTCGACGCAATCATGCACGACGTTGCGCACAACACCAAGATTGATGACGGCAGCTTCTTTCCGTTGGCGAGACACATGTCTTGGTTTGATGGTCATTCCTTTGCGTCTGGTTTGTTTCCATTTGGAAACGGAAAGTCACAAGAGAGTTCCAGTGAGGCTGTCAACTGCTACTACGGCGCCTCGTTGTGGTCTCTGGTCCGCTCTGGTTTTTCCGACAACCCCTCCACGGATACCTCTGCCATGACAGATTTTTCCCGTTTACTGTTGGCCATGGAAGTTCGCGGAGCCCGGACGTATTGGCACATGATGCCTCCTTCGTCGTCATCTGGAAGCAGCAGCAGCGGCAGCAACTCTTCGACGGCGGTAACGACGCCGGCTGTCTACAGTCCCGAGTTTGAGCAAAATTACATGGTCGGCAACTTGGGTATGCTGGATGCGATCTGTTCTACTTGGTTTGGAACACAAAACCTGTATGTACATATGATAAACTTCCTTCCCGTGACGCCCATCACCCGAGAACTGTTCGACAAGGAGTATGTTGCGAAGGAATACGCCGACGTCATCAGCCAGTATGGACAAGAAGTTGAAATGGCTTGGAGAGGCTATGTGGTGTGCGATCATGCCCTGGTATCACCCATGAAAGCCTGGAAAGAGGCTGTGGATCTCGTTGCCAATCGACTGGATTCGGGGTTGAGCAAAACTCAAGTCCTGTATTTCATCCTGACATCTCCCAGTGGTGTCGATTTGTCTCAAATAGACACGGGTGCTGCCTCGGATGATGCTTTTGTCGCACCCTCGTCGTCGTCAGGCGGCAACAGCGACCAAAGCTCGAGCGGTGGCAACGATGACAATAGTGCTTCGTGTTCCAACCATCGAGGTTGCGCCGGATTGACCGGGTTGTGTTGTCCAACGGGTGGAGGATCATTCCTGTACTGCTGCAACTCCCGCTAAAACGTTTGGCATTGATGATGGAAGACTTGGCCGGTCGCTTATTATTATGCCATGGAAAATGTTGCTCAGTACAAAACTTATTGCTCTGGCCAAGTCTTTTTGCTTGTAAGATTTAATATTGCTATACTAGATGTTCTAACTGTATGAGGCAACTTCCGCATCATCAATGTTGTCATGATGTCGATTTTTGGACTTTTTGTTCGACGTTGACCACGTCAAAGCGATATTGGGTATTTTCCATGTACGGTGGAGGTGTCACCATGGTAAGAGCTGCTTGGATTTCCTTGGCAGAATCTGTGGGGCACTTGATCTCGATGAGATTCTCTGTACCTTTTGACACTTCTATCAAGCAAGAATGCGGCTCAAAATCACCAAAAAGGTCCCGAAGGCTGAAGGTTAGGATGGTTTGCATTTCTCTCGGATCCGTTACGGGTGGAAAGGTATCGACGAGAATGGTTGACCATTGCCCCTTTTCAGATGCCATAATATTATGCTGCGCTACCCAGTACCCAGTACTTTGGCTGTGACAATCAATCTCCCTGTCTGTGGCCCTCGTGAGGAGGTTGTCGCGAGATAGTTGGCTGACCTTTTATTAGGAAATCGTTTCACAAGATGCCTTAAGAGAAAGCAAGACGAGACAGTGCAGCTGTCCCCTCACATTTGATTTGCCAGCTCCAAGGTGCTGGCAAACGGGATGTCCGATACTGTACTGTACGCCTTTTGTCAAAAGGAATGAATGGAGCCAGCAGGAGCGATGATGGAGTGATGGAGGCAACAGAAGGCGAAAGATACAAGATACAAAGATCGACGCACGATTGAATGTCACCGAAGGATCTGATGTCAACAACGTTATTCTCACAAAACGGTGACAACCGAACTCAAAATGACATTCTGATTAATGATTACAATCTAATCATTTTGGACTCATCACCCCCAAGCCCTGTACAGCTCCCTATTATCTGCCTCTCACAACATTATCTGAAGCGGTTCTGATCACTGAAGAAAAATGTGGAAAAGCAGAGCCCTTGCCACCAAAAGAACCTCGATTCGTCGACTCTGTCAGTGCCGTGCCATGTCCTCAACGACGCTACCAAGAAATCACGACATTAAAATCGTCGAAGTTGGTCCGAGAGATGGCTTGCAGAACGAAAAGCAATACGTCTCCACGAAAGACAAGATCAAGCTGGTCCAAATGCTGGCGGATGCTGGTTGCTCCTACATTGAAGCGGGTGCTTTTGTATCACCCAAATGGGTTCCCTCCATGGCAAATTCGACAGAAGTGATGGAAGGGCTGATTCCATGGAAGAAGAGTCAAGGTGCTGTCTTGTCTTGCTTGACACCCAATACAAAAGGATTGGATCTTGCCATTGCGGCAGGAGCTGATGAAGTTGCCATTTTTGGGTCGGCCAGTGAAGTGAGTGAGTGAGTGAGTCAAGGGATCTTGATTTTTCTTTGGTCTGGATCTTCGATTTCAACAATTCTCTTTTTGCGTTATCCAAATCAATAACATCGGACAGGCATTCAGCCAAAAAAACATCAATTGCAGCATTGAAGAGTCACTGGCTCGTTTTGAACAAGTTGCGGAGAGAGCAAATCTCTTGAAGATTCCCATGAGGGGATATGTCTCGTGTGTCCTGGTACGTTCGACTGGTTCAATTCTAGTTGCTGCTTGATACATGGTTGAGAGGTCGAAACTGTGCTCTAATCACAGGAGATATCTGCCGGTTCATTCTTGCAAAAGGGCTGCCCCTATCAAGGGTCGGTAGAAGCATCTCAGGTGGCAATGGTAACCGAAAAACTGCTCGAATTGGGATGTCACGAGGTTTCCCTTGGAGATACCATCGGCGTTGGAACACCCAAAACGACAAGGGCAATGTTGGAAGCTGTTCAGGTACAGTGATGTCATGGATAGTCCTGCATCTCGACAATAATCTATCTCTCGCTCGCTCATCCGACATTTATTTGCGCCGTCGATCAGGCCACCGTTGCCACAGAGAATCTTGCCGTCCATTTTCATGATACCTACGGAATGGCAGTTGCCAATGTGCTGACTGCGCTAGACCTGGGAATCACTGTCGTAGACTCCTCCGTAGCGGGGCTTGGTGGGGTAAGGGAACCGTGATGGGCTGGCTGAAATGTCCAATATGCCTCCGTGATGCCGCCTGATGTTTCGTTTTCTTCTTTTCTCCGTGTAGTGTCCCTATGCGAAAGGGGCCAGTGGGAATGTGGCAACAGAAGAAATCGTTTACATGATGTAAGTCAGCGCATAAAAGTGCCTACACTGCAAGAATGGCGTTCTATGCTGATTCGATTCCAACTTGATACTCGTGCAACGTGTCATCAGGCACGGCCAAGGTCTGAGCACTGGGATTGACCTGGACAAGCTCGTGGATGCTGGCGATTTCATCTGCGGTGCTTTGCAAAAGGGAACTCAAAGCAAGGTTGGACGCGCCATGTCAGCCAAGAGGATTTAGTTTTAGTGGTGTCCAGGAACCAAGTTGAAGTGCTGGAAGTCAAAGCTAGCTAGAGATTCAGGTTTCTTCGAATAGCTAGACTCCAGCTACTACGATTATGGCATGTTTCAAGCTGTCCAGTTCTAGTAACACATAGCAATGATGTTAATTTGTTTAAAATGGAATACTACTTGCTAGTTGCATATTAACCAACATAGTACCATGCAAATCACAACAAAGACCAGCTAGCTATGGCAGCCATAGTTTGCATAGGTGATTCAAGCTAAGGCCCCAAGCTCTTCCATTCGCTGCCTTCTGGAGTCTTCCAACTTCTCCTTCTGGTAAAGGCCTAGTTGCCTGTGATACCATAGTCCAAGCTTGACACCACCTTTTTCATAGGATACTGGAACAGATGTCTTTCCAGTTTCAGAAACATACTCCTTGCACAAATGGAAGTTCTGTTCCCACCTCCAATCAGGTGCATTCCAAATGAAACCAACCTGTTCCAGTTGCTGCACCTTCCATTCATCCAGCAGCTTATCCTTCTTTCTTGCATGCCGCTGATGCTCCACCCACCGCCCCAAGTTCACACCTCCTTCTACATGCCTCTTGGGTACATCACAGTGACCTTCACGAGCCTTGAAGGCAAGCAATGCTTGGCAGAAAGAGTTCCAACTTGCTTTGAGGGGATCCCACACAAATCCAATTTGGTCCAGTTTCTCCACCTTCCATGAATCTAGTTTATCCTTCTTTCTTGCAATTCGCTGCCTGATCACCCAATTCCCCAACTTCACATCTTCTTCTACGTGCCTCCTGGGTACATCACAGTGACCTTCTCGTGCCTTGAAGGAAAGCAATGCTTGGTAGAGAGTGTTCCAATTTTCTTCGTGGAAATCCCACACAAATCCAATTTGGTCCAGTTTCTCCACCTGCCATGCCTCCAGGTTATCCTTCTTTCTTGCGTCCCGCTGTTGCCGCACCCACCACCGCAAGGACACGCCTCTTTCAATGTGAGTCCCGGGTGGATCACAGTCACCCTCCCGTTCTACATACTGGCATAGCAATTCATTCTTTTGATTCCAAAACTCTTCATTGTGAGACCACTTGATGCCAGCTTCTTCCATTTGATGAATCCAGTCCATACTCAAGCCACCAGATTTCTTCAGCTGCCTTTGAACCTTTAACCACATTTGCTTCTGCCCAGGATGGTCCCTTCTAAAGGAAACAACTCTCTCAAACATGGTGTTCCACTCCGAGGCTTTGGTATGAGTCCCTGAGACTTCAATGATCATTTGTTTCATGATCTCTTGCTGGGTCTCCCATCGGATTGATCCCAGGCTGTCAAACACATCTCTCAATCTTTGGGGATATTCAGAAGGATCAACCAGCCTCCCTTGTTTATCTTCTCCGGCAATGTAGACAACACCCTTCCAAAACTCAGGGTCATCCTCAGACAATGCCAGTAGAGTCCGTGCAAGCATCTGGCTACCACAGCTGTCTTCATTACCAAGCAGGAAGTCACCCTCTGACTCATCATAGATCACAGGAAGCAATACATGTATATATATCCGCATTGCTTGTTTGGTGCAGGACGGGTTACCCTTCCAACTGCTTGCAATATCTTCTCTGGGCTCCTTATATAATCAGACAAGAAGACCATGTCCCAGATAGCTTCATCAACTCCCTCTGTAAATAATTCACAGTTTGCTACAACTGACATGGGAGCTTCCTTGGCTTGTTTCAAGATGCTTTCTTGCATTGTACGTTTCATGTTGCCATTGATGTCAGCTGCAAACACATCCCGACCCAGCACTTCCCTGGCATCCTCAATGAACTGCTTTTCCCTAGCATTCCTGCTGTGAAATGAAACTGCATGAGATGCATTGCACTTTTCCATAGCTGCTCGCAATATGTAGGGGAGCAGTGCTGGAATTGACCCATCTCTCAACTGGTTGCCATCATTGAACAATGAAGGAAACACAGACAACAGTTGCTGTTTGGATACCACATAGAGTTTCAATGGTACAGTGATGTTCATTTGTTCCGCTTCCCTGCGAGTCTTCTTCTCCACAGTCTGTCCAAACACGGATTGATTGTTGAAGCTGCGAACTCCTTCTTGGAGGATGACATCCTGATTGGTAGTAATGAGAGTTTGCATGCCATTCCTTTCATTAATTTTGGAGGCGACCACTGTCTTCTGTGTCACATTGGGCGAGAAATTTCGAGGGGTTGCTGTTTTGAACAGTCTAAAGTCAATGAGTAGTTCATGGTCTTGCAACAGCTGCAGATTTCGCATGCACAAAATCGCGTTATTTTCGGTTTTAAGGAAACAATCTTCTCGTACTCTATATGTGTTTATTCCTGAGAAAACGAAATGACACTTCCATCCACTGCATAGATTGTACACCCCTCTGGGGCACCAATGCTGTCATGAGAGCTGGCCACAATATCCTCTGCGGAGAACCGGCACATCACAGCCGATGCCGGACTGTGCAACGTCACGGTTGGGTACAACTCTTCTGCTGCGGGAACCAAGAGGGGCAACGTCGATGTAGGTACCATGGGGTTTTGTCTCAACGGGTCATAGCCAATGGAGCCGTTGATCAGACCCATTTGCATTTGCGCTCCAGGAAGCAGTCCCGAAGCTCCACCGGTTGTTGGTAGTGTTGACACCGGAGGTGGTACGATGCGTCCATTCACTGGATTTCGAGGAGTGGTCCAAAGTAAATCGATTAGTCAGCTTGCGATACGAATACAAACGAGGATGCCAGACGCCGCAACCGTTGCACACGTACCATTGAACGTCACTTGCGCCGTGATCATGACACCATCCCAAGTCTCAAAAGCCGATCCATCGTCTAGACAAACGAGGCACCCGACGGTAGCGCCATCCGCGTACGAACTCAATGACGGGTCTCCCGGCGAACACCATTGCCCCGCCGTCAAAATTTGACCCGTCGTACACAATCCAACCGAGCCCGACCAGGCACCCACCAGCGTGTTGGGTGGCATCTCCTCGGTACTCAATCCAATCGACAGAGTAATCATGCTGGCCTGCATGACGACATTGCCAATAGGACGCGGCATGACTGTCATTTCAAAGTACACAAAACAATTTCGCAGAATGGGCACCATGCTTCGTGTGCTGCAGTATAACATGTTGCCCACTTTGGTGGCCAAATGTTGCCCACAGGTCAATTCGATCCCATTCAAGGCATCCTTGGCATCGAATACCGCCAATCGCTTGCCTTCACTCAATGCTCGTGCCATTTCCCGTGTGCGTTCATTGTCGCTTGCCAGTGCATCGTGGACCCGGATCTTGTCTCGTGCCAGAAAGACCACATCGTCGGCGAATCTTGTGCTGCGTGCCAGTACCGTCATGCGAGATGCCGGTGTCGGCGGGAAGGATTGTGGCGTGCACATGAAAGGACTGTCCATGGGAGAGGATTCATTGGAGGGCGGATCTTCTGGATCATTTTCCCCACGGTTCAGACTCCGATCGGCTTGACCGGCAAATTCGATATTGTCAAATGTTTTTAACGGGGGCATGGCAATGGTGGCGACAAAGGGTCGCAGGGAGACATCATAGTGCATCATTCGTTGGACGCGGCTCTTGGCATGCCGTGACAGCCCACCGGTGTCGTCTGCCAATTCCAAGTAGGAAATGACTTCGGCCGCCGAGTTGATGGTGCTGACCTTTCGCAGTAGTTTCTGTTGCAGGACGGTCCCCGATGAATTGCGTCCCTTCTGTCCGTTGTACATCATAATCCCATTGCCTCCTAGGGAAGACGACGAGGATCCGGTCCGATTGACGGACAAATTACCAACTCCTGTACGGGAGAGTCGATGGAGTGCCAGACTGCTGGCAGATCCCACTCCCGTGGCAACACTTTGAATGCCACTGGCGAGGACTTCACTGGTCTTTCCCATGGCATTGACTTGTAGCGAGATGATAGCATCTAGTACAGCAAATGGATTGAAATTGGTAATGCCATCCCATACCACTAGGGTGGTATGAGAGAGTACAGTGACCAGGGCCCCCATGCTGGTGGCGGTGATGCGAAAGGTACAGTGAACACTTTCAAAGTAGGTGTCAATGGCACAACTGGAAAAGTCCAAGACAATGGAGAGTGGCACATTGTGTAGGACGGAATCCAGTAGATCGTGAATAAAGAGAAAGTCTTTTCGTCGGCTTCGTCTTCCATGATGATAGTGATATCGATAGGGTCTCAATTGTTGATGTTGCCGTTGTTGTTTGGCGATGATGGTTGTGTTTGTGGGAGGTTCATGATGAGTTTCGGGATCTTCTGCTTCTTCAGTATTGTTGGCAGGCCGTGCTTCCTTTTGATGCGCCAATTCTCGAGCAGAATTGAAGGCTTCCACACAGAACGATCGGAGTGGCTGAGGATGGGAAAACACGGCAGCCGCCAGTCGTTCTTGTGCCCATCGTCTCTTTCGTTCTTGCAGCAATTCTTCCAATTCGTATTCGTCCGCACAGTAGTCTTCTTCGCAGTGATTATGATCTGGATGATGATGATCCACTGCTGCCGTCAAGTCAAATCGAGGAGTGGCTCCGGGAGAAATGGCCATGAGTGCCGGGGTGACGGGAGTGTTGAGGAGACTCAGTTCTTCCCCAATAGCCCACGAATCCGACTCTGCCGTGTACTCATTCTCGGAGGCGGCAGGAAGGGCGATGGAAACCATCGAAGTGGCGTCCGATAAGGTGAGAAACGAGGCGATGTTTCTCACAATGGCCGCTCCGTCGTCCGTGGAAGTCTGAGACACGGAACCCGTCGCTGGAGATCGAATGTTGCTGTTGTTGGTGTGAGCATGGCTGCTGTTGCCGGTAGCGGCGGAACTTGTAGCATAGGCATCATTCTCGGCAGACATCATACTACTCTACTCTACTGCTAGGATCTTGTTCTATACTAGTACCAGGTATGATGTTCTTGAAAGGTGGGTCCCAAGGTGGTTCTCACTAAAGTGACCCGAACGTTCTTCCGGGCAGCCAAACTAACTCCCAACAAAGGGAAAATAGCTCTGTCAGCTCTGTCTCGAGCTTGGCCCCTCCTTGATGGGACGGATCCCAGTGCTTCTCCGAACGCTATCTCCTGTTGCTTCTTGTTTTGTTGCGCAGATGGGAATGCAACTCCCAACTTCACTCACTAGGAGTACTAGCTAGCTAGCTAATACTAGATGATTGATGACGGCCTTGGTTGCAGCTTCTGACTTCTGACTTTCAATGGAGGGCTTTTTGATTGGGCCAACAGTCACATCAGAGTGCTTTTTGATTGGGCAATTGCCATCCTTTTTTACCCCTTTGCCCACCTTGAAGTGATTAAAAGGATACTATATGCTTTCAATACCGGTAATTTGCAAGCTTTGCGTACCGGCACACCGGCACGACCAGCAAGAAATTACAGTAAAGCTGGCTCACTCCCTACAAGTACACTCCTACCTTGATATTTATTTTAAGTAAGATGGCTCTAAGTTCACCTGAACCTGAAGGCATCTTTGCAAAAACTCAAATATCTGCACTGAGAATCTTCTTAGCATTTTGTTAAAATTCAGGGTCCAAAGGCAACAACTTAGCTTTCTTGCCATTTCTATTGACCATATTAGTAGTATGGTACATACCAACCTTGCTACTCTGCTTCCCACCTTACTGAACATACCCCTAGGAGAAGAGAGGAAAGAGCAGTGTATCATCCGCCGGAGGCGAAATTTTTGACTTTTGGTACCTGTTTTTAAGGCATTTTGTTGCAGAAAAGTGTCATTGTATCATCTCTCAATCTCTTATGTGCCCAAGGCAGAGTGCTTACTGGGTATCTTAGTTCTAGTGCAGATATGAGTGTCTCAAGTATCTTAACATTCCAGGAGCGTGCCTCAATCGTGCATTGGGCGACTTTTTAGGGTAGGATTTAGGATCGGATTTAGGGCAGAGTTTGAAACTCTGCCCTAAGTTTCAAAATCTGCCCTAATTTAGGGCAGAGTTTCAAACTCTACCCTAATTTAGGGCAGGGTTTCAAAACTCTACCCTAAAATTAGGGCAGAGTTTCAAACTCTGCCCTAATTTAGGGCAGAGTTTCATAGTATTTACTATCCAGTCCCGTTTCGTTTAGGGCAGAGTTTGAAACTCTACCCTAAGTTTCAAACTCTGCCCTAATTTAGTACAAGTTTTAAAAAAAGAAAACTTAAAAATTAAAAATAAGTTTCAAATACAAAATTTTAGGGCAGAGTTTCAAACTCTACCCTAATTTAGGGCAGGGTTTCAAAACTCTACCCTAAAATTAGGGCAGAGTTTCAAACTCTGCCCTATTTCGAACTCTCTATATCCTGGATTCCCCTTTTGGGCACTCTCCAGCAAATCTCAGTACTCGACATCTTATCTCGGACTCTCTTAATGTCAAGGGAGGAGTATACGGTACAGTCGTACCGGTACGTTGCGGTGGTATGGTCCGTGTACATGTACGTACCGGTACGACCGGTCCTGATTGAGCACCTGTACCTGGTACTGGTACTAGTACCGGTACCGTTTGGTACGGCATCTTTTAAAACATCAGTGAGGGGAGACCCCAGAGAGGTGGATTGGATTTTTGCTGAAGTCCATTGAGTTGATACCAAACCGCAATTAAGCTTTCATGTGCTGTTTCACAAACCAACATCCTGCCATGTGAGGAAGAAGAGAGTTCTGCTAATGCTAATGCTGGCTATGTACATGTAGAAGTATTGAAAATGCCTGTGAGAATGGAGCGAATCGAATTCAATCATTGGACAGTCTACGAAACAATGCTGCAGAGAAGCACTGAGTTAGCAAGTCAAGACCTGCAATGACTCGACTCTGGAGGTACAAGTTGCCTCGCAGTAGCTGAGAATAAATCTTTCCAAAAGTACGGTCTCGGGACGGAACAGGACAGTGTCTTTGCCAAAGCTTTTGCTTGCAGGTTGCAGCAATGGCAAAAGAAAAGGCTTCAAACCGAGAGCGGGTGGTAAAACTTTTTGCTTCTGCGTCTTAGCAGTGACGGAATTTCAATCAAGTCGAGGCACGAGTCGAGTCGAGTGAGAGTCCCCCCAAAAGCCTTGGGTAAAAGGTAACTACACTGTACCGGTACCCTGTTCTGTACCGTACGTGTATTCTATGCACATGTACAGCTATTGTTAGGTTGGAGCTGTGACAGTCCAGCCGAGTGACGTCTACTAGACTACTAGTAATGAGGATACCAGGTACGCTTTCAGTACCAGTCCTTTTAAGTCCGTGACATTGTAAATAAAAACAGCTTTAAAATAGACAGAACTCAAAATTTTGTGACTAAACCGTACCGGTACTACTAGAGTAGTACCTGATACTCAGGAGTTATTACCGGAACCGGAACAGACCGTACCGGTACCAGGTACCGTAGCTCAGAGAGTGTACTTCTATTGATATTATTATTATTATTTATGCTTCCCCGTTCCCTGCAACGTCCAGTGGAGCGACAGTCCAGTGAGAGTCAAGTCGAGTGACAGTCCACCGTACCATCCACCAAACAGCAGGAACGATGAAGCCTCCATCATTCTGCGGCAGGAAATGGCTCTCGCTGGCAGCCCTCCTATGCTCTTTTCCTAAATTGGCTCTGGGCATGGGTGGAGAAAAAGCCTACTACTCAACCTCTCCTTTCGACCAAAACTCGAACATCACCCACCGCCAAAACGTGTGTGCCCGTGCAGCTTTGTATCATGACGGAAAGATTGAACTACGGGATGCCTTGGCTGGCATGTCCATTAGACCGCTTTTGGGCAGAGGGTTATACTTTTCATACACAAATGAGAATGGGATTGATCCAGAGAATCCAGGTATATTGGCTGATTTGATGGATTCTCTGGCGGAAAGGGCCAACTTCACATGGCGCAACTCCTTTGGTGTTGGGAACGATCCAGCCTACTACAACTTGACCTGGACAGAGATGCTTTTATGGGGAGTCGAGACTTTTGACATTGCTGTAGACTGGTGGGATCACTCTGTCGCAAGAATGGAGAAGGGTGTTTCATACATTGAACCGTGGTTTGATGGCAGCATTATTCTGATTCATAAGGAAGAAGCTGTCTTTGATGGCCATGTATCAACAGTCAACATTTGGAACTGGACAAAGCCATTCGAAGTTCCAGGTAAATCCAGGAAATTGCGTGTCCAGCCCCTCAAAACTCCGTCATTATGCCATCATGCTGATCTCATATTGCTTTTTCCTGCATTGCCCAGTGTGGATTGTGACTGTCATGACAGTGCTGGTCTCTGCTCTAGTATTTCAGCTCATAGAGCACCTCAACGGAGAAAGAGACGACCGTCCCATGCGACAATGGTTCTCCGACAACATGGTATGATTGCCTGATTGGATTCTATGAGCTACAAAGAATAATTGTGAAACTCCACCAGCTCATTTATTTTGCTTCTCGTTTTGCACCAACAGTACCTAAGCTGGCTCAACTTTACCCAAAACTATGAGTATGCACCTCGCTCCATAGCAGGGAGGATGTTTGGAATCAGCATGAGTATTTGGGCCCTCGTGATGACTGCTACCTACACAGCCAATTTGGCATCCCTCTTTGTGGAAGAAAACATGCAACAAGACACAGTGGACTCAATCGAGAAAGCGGTGACACTGGGTATACCGGTTTGTACCTTTGCCGGCACTAATTCAGACGCCTTCATACGGGACATGTACATGAATGCTGTGCGGGTCCCAAAGCAAGATGAGTTGGAAGTCTACCAGGCACTGGTGCGCGGAGAATGTGGCCTGGCTGCCGCATACAAGGATGGATGGCTTACATACCAAGGCAGCAAGTTATACAATCCACACTGTGACCTGGCATGGGTGGGCAGAACAGTGAGGGTCATCAAGTCAGGCTTTGCTGTCAAAGCCGATGCAGGCGAATACTGCTCAACTCTGATTCGAGATGTTATCAATTTGCATTTAGTTGAATTGATAAGCGATGGTGTTCTGGCGGATGCATGGAAGAAGCACAGATCCCTCAGACAAACTAATAATTGCGAGAACCTCGATGGCAGCACTTCCACCCTGGCCAATAGCCTACGTCGTCGGCGGCGACTGAAGATGCGCTCTCAGGAGCTGGAAGTGCCAGTGACATCGCTCACCTCGAGCATGCATCGTGTTCTGAAAAAGGGAGGTGCATCCTCTGGGTCCATCCAGAGCGACAATCAAGCAACGACTGCACTCTCGCTTGAACAAATGCTTGGGACGTTCCTTTTGCATTGGGGAACTATGGTATTGTCGCTCCTGTTCAGTGTTGCTGCCTACTACTACAAGCAGCGGGCACCCAGAAAGGATCTTGAGGAGCTTCGATACCGCAATCATGGCCCGGTAATTGGGATGTCTCCCCCAATCAACACCTACGTTGTCAAAAATTCTGAAGGGAAGCCTCTGGTCCCGGGAAAATTGGCCACACCAGATAAGAGGCGTTTTTTTGAGAGCACAGGGACCAGAGAGACTTGGTCGGACGAAAACGAAAGTGGCGACAATGGGGCTATCCTCGAATTTTTGGAACCAAGGGCATCAGAGCTTCAAGCCGCATGGTTACGAGAGTCGGTTCTGCTGCAACGGCAACAACATGCCTTCGATAGGAAACTGGAGGGCATGGGTGATAGAATGGGCATGGTTGAAGATAGAATGGAGATTATGATTGGCTTGCTGCAACAAATTTCCAGGCAGCAGCAGCTTCAGTATGGTCATGGGCAGCAGCAACAGTCGCACGATATGCTGTGGCTTTCGAAAAGCTCATGCCCCAAGAGGCCTAAGTTTCATCCACCAACAGTTTAGTTGTGTACGTTGTCATGCTTGAACCAACGTTTGATCTGGCCCACATGCTTGCTGCTATGAAGCAGAACGCTGCGGCGATGGCCTTCATCGCAACATTCGTTGCGAGCGTCACGGTCGATTGATGTGAGCTCATGTCAACAGTATTGTACTGACTTCCGAAGAGGAGCTCATCAAGTCCTATTGCTAGCTACGGCGTGGTTTCCCTTGATTACTGGTACGCTCAGTGGAAGTTGAGCCCTCCAGTTAGGGAACACTTCCCAGAGAAAGGACAGGAAATCTTGGTGATCCCGCGAGTGAGATCGAAAGCGCCGTGGTTCACTTGCATGGGGCATGCACTGAATCGAATCGGACAGAGACAAAGAAACACGGACGATCGACGGCACGCCAGACGCATCGCGCGCCGCAACCGGTACTTCTACCGTACAGCGCCTCTAGCTGATTATAGGTGCTAGCTAGTCCTCCAAAGTCGTAACGTCGATTCGGTCATAATCTAACATCCGTCGACCCTAGCTAGCGTATGAGAGCCCGCAACGCTGCTGCGTGTTGGTTGTGGCCTCAGACTACACTGTAATCGAGCAGCGTGCCCATTTCTGCTAGCCAACGCCAGTAACAACAACAACAAAAACCAAGTGTTGTAATTATGCTTGATTATTACGGCAGCTGTGGCCATACATAGTCTTCCTTGTAGGCACTCCCATCCTTAAAGCCACAATGAATCTGCATGGCAACCTTGTACATTGCCATTTCTCGAATAAGTTCGGGTGAATTGGGCGCATGGACACTGTCGTATTCGGGAATGACACATCCATCGACTTCGACCAGTGTCCCCTTGCCTGCCGCCAGTTCCTTTTTGCCATGTTGCATATTGGGATCGATAAACTTGTCCACGTCTTCTTGGGTAATTTCTTTGGGTGCTTCTGGGACCCCGCATCTGGTCGTGAGTTCGTTGGCTATTCGTTTTATTTCGTCGAGTGGATTGGCCAAAATGGCATCATTGCTGGAAAGCACTCGACAGACACCTTGTGAATTTTGAATGGCTTTCATATTGTAAATGATCCAGAGACGAAGACCGTGTTCCAACTCGAATTTTTCGCGATGGACCAAGGAGAGAGCCACTTCGAGAGGATGTCGGTATGTGAACAACACGGCTGGTTGCGTTTTGAGGAGTGTGAGCCACGTTTTGAGTGTAATGCACATGCGTGGATCTTTCTGCATCCATGGAATATTCTTTGGATCATTGAGGAACTCCAATGTTTTGGTACCCTCTTTGAAGGGGATACTGCCCGCTTTGAGATCGGCAGCAGCCTTGTCGGCATCGTAGCCTCGAACGCCACTGGACCACCACATGCGTTGGGACTTTAGGAATTCATCATTTTGCAAGACAGCATCGATGCGTTCAAAGAATCCTTTTTGATTGTCAAAATGAGCTCCAATCAAAGGTCCTCCGACGTTGTATCCAGATCCTTGTACCAGCAATCCCGACATCATCGATGTACCACTGCGATGCATACCCAATACGAAAAATCCAGGACTTCTACCCGGTGGGACGGGATCCATCACCTGGTTGGGAGCATTTTGTTGTTGTTGCTGTTGTTGTTGCTGCTGCTGCTTTTTTCTGTTGCGGAGTCCTTGGAATTCTTTCATGGCGGCATCTTTCAAATGTCGATCGGTAAAGCCACGGAATTCTCGAAAGGATTGTAGCTTGTCCTTGAGATGCTTGCCCATGCCCCCAATGACCTGTTTCTCGACATCATTCAACACCAAATGATGACGAGAATTATCCTTGACAGGAATGGCATTCGAATTGGGATCATCCGACGTTAGCAAGGGCATCAAGCCCACGAGCAGCAGCAGATAAACCAACAAGAAGCAACCGCTACAAATCGTCGAGTAAAGACCAAAGCTAACGTAGGATGTGAAATTCTGATGCAGTCGCCCCTTGCGATTTCGTTTCCGTTTTGATGGGCTTTTCTTCTTGCTGTTGTTGCTGTCCATGGTATCGTGTTTGCGGGGATTGTATTGTATGGTATGGAACTGTACTGTAGTGGAAAAGGATAGCTCGGGATGCAGCAACCTCAGCTCATCAATGGCCGATGCCTCGTCGAATCTATGGGTATCTTGGCTGTTGACTGGGTGCGAGAGAGTGTTTTGGTTGACCGTGGGAAATGACAATGACCTCGGCGGTTCGTGCCGACTTACCCAGTAAGCCTTACAGCGAAGGGTTAGGGTTCAACTTCTCTCTCGCTCTGGCGCGAGATCCGAGATCTCAGTTTCTCACACATCGACCATGAACATGACTTCCACGACGGCCTCTGAACCCAAGGAAGACGTCGGTAAGCCACCAGGTCCTGCGGATGCCAATGTTGTTGGTAGTATTGCGCAGCAAGGCATCATTGGGCAGTGTCTACGGGACGCTCTTCAGGATGTCATGGATCAACAAGAGGGAACTGTCGATGGAGACGTCGTGGGCGCAGAGGAACAAGACGACGACGACAACTCCGATGACAATCCCAGCAACAACAAAAAGATCAAGCTGGGCGAACACATGGTGGATGGTATCATGCAACGATTTGGTCAAGCCGTGGCGGAAAGCAGCAGCCATGATGCACCACCAGCCCTCTTGCGAGGGAGAATGGATCACTACAATCGATTCAATGACAAGTGGAGGATTATTGTCAAAGACGTCACGCTCAAGCGACGAGTGGCGTTGCCAGTAGATCGAAAGAAAAAGGCCCGCACTTCGCTATGGGAAAAAGTGGGAGAGCAGGAAACTGTGCGCATGGAAGCAGCAGCAGCATCGTCGTCGTCATTGCAGCTGCTAGCGTACGATGATCTATAGTACATACTGTATCAATGTATCAATCAGCAGGGCTTGTACTTACGAAGCAAAATCAAGCGATTGCTGGAAAGCAAGCAAGTTGTACTGGGGTGATAAATTTGCTTTTGGTATACATGAGCTTTCAGCTATTTGCAAGTCTCAAGCTAGCTAGCACCAACCGGCCAGAATGCTACCGTACTGTACAAATTGGGCATGTGATTGACAAGTCAGGCAGGGGGAAAGAACTGCAACAATCTTTGACACGTACAAGATTATTGCCGTGCTGTTTTCTGCTCAATTGGGACATTATCATTCCGTGGCACATTGTGGCTCCGTTGGCAGATCCAACAGCTTTGGCAGAATCCAAAGAGAGCCCTAAAAATGCCGCCATTGCATTGGTTGCGGACTATGTGGAACTGGAGCTCATGGACCCTGATGAGCTGCCTGCTCTTGTTGGAGCATCGGGTTTGGTGGCAAAGGAACAACTGTACAATGCCTTCAAAAAGCAAGCATGATCCTTTTGTTGACTTGAACCGGCATCCTCTTCAATAAGTTGGAGAAGAACTAGAGTCCAAAACTTTCTCTTGACTGGACTGTCATCGCCGCTTCTCTGGGATACCCAGCATTGTGGCTCGGTGTGGCAAAAACGTTCATATCATGTTGACCCAATGCGGTTGTTGGGGGTGCGAGTGGCTACTCTGGGAATGAGCGTTCCAAAGCTCATTCATTTGATCAAAATCTGGGCCAAGCTGCCAAATTTGGAGGGGGTTTCAGTGTTACCATGACACTTGAGGTGACAGCAGGAAGTCCACACAACGGAGCTTTATCAATCTCAGTCAACGGTCAACAAACTGTCCAAGCAGTGTCCAATTGTCGAAATCATCTTCTGGAGATTGGCTCTGCTTTTGTGCCAGCTGTGATGTGTCATGTCTTGCAGTCAGTACCACTATTGTGGATGTTCGGAGGCTCTAGTTGCTGCTCATGGTTCATTTTTGGTTGCTGTCCTTAGCTAAACTAAATGCTTAGCAGAAGGTTTTCCTTGCATCTGTGTGGTGTGGGTTCCACTCAATCATCGACTGTTTCGTACAGTAGCATTTCACCTGACGGAAAGACTTGTCGAACTGGTTTCAGTACGCGCCGCAGCGCCATGCTTCGCTCTCGCTTTCAAGTTCCTTTTTTATGAATAGCAGAGCCTACATAGTAAACGAATCTAAATGGTATGCGGCCGCCAACAAAGCACAGCACTATCTTCATTATGCGTTCTCTCAGTCGGCAAGATCGGAAGATGATGAGTCGCTACCACCTGAATCCTCCCCTCTGGTCGAGTCGATGCTGTCACCACTTTGATACTCCGAATCATTTGGTGGACGAAAACCACCCTCGTTTTGATGAAGCGCCAGTGAAGTCAGTAGTCCACCACGATTCTGAAGTCGCTGTTGTTGTTGAATTCGATTAAGTGCCATAGCCCGGGCAGCTGTGAAAGGTTCCATGTGACCCGAGTCCGACCCATCACTGCGATCGGACGCGGAATCGTCAAACGACACATCATCTGATTCAGAATCCACATCTGAATTGGATGCTGATGACCGTCCCTATAGTCAAGATTCCAAAAATGAGACAAATTGTAGTGCGTCCGCGCGGTTGCTGTGGAGACTCGACCGACTCACCTCAAGGTCCGCTCCTTCGTTGGTGCCGGTGGCGTTCGAGGCCGACGCTCCGCCGCCGCCCGCGTCGATTGTTACGACATCGAAAGGCGTTGTTGACCTCATGGATACTCCTGCTAGCGAAGCTCCGTGGCCATGGCCATGATGCATATGAAGCAACTGAATATTGGGGGGTGCATGAAGTGGACCAATTGTCGAGGATTCATTGCCCTGCGAAAATAAAATCGGCGATGGCACTCGAGCAATGGATGGATGCTCTGCATTTTGTTCCGGTAGGTGTTGTCGTACAAAACTTCCAACTGAAGTATGCCCTGGAAGAGCAATATTCGAAGCGGCAGCCGCTGACATGGCCAAACTGGGTGGCGGTGGCGAGTTGGTCATTCCACGATTTTCGGCAATAGACCGCACATCTCGATTGGCCACAGCAGATGAATGCGGATCAATCCCCACATGATCGAATTTTGTCCGCAGCGACCGTGCAGCTGCTTCCAACATTTCCCTCGAAGACTCGGCATCGTTACCTGGTTTCTTTTCTGGCGACTGATCGTTGCTTTTCACACCAGCAGAATGCGCTTCATCTCGGGATGGAGAACCGTGTCGCCTCAACGTATTATCACCCCCCGGATCTAATGGTAAATCATCTGATAATGATGAACACCGCCTCTTCAATGCTCTTTGTCGAAATTCTGATTCCAAACGTCCCTTTTCACTTGCCAACGCTGCGAGTTCGCGCTCCTGCACAACCAATGTAGTTATTAGGACCAAGCGAAACCTCAAGTGTTACAGTGGAACACAGCGAGACATGCATCCCTTACCTCGAGCCGGCTCTGCGACGTAATCCCTCCCGTGCTTCCCCCAAAGGCACTCGTTGATGAGGTGACCAGTAACAACTTCTCCAGACAATTACATAGTTTGTGGGTTTGAGTATAGTACTAAAAAAGGAAAGGAAGAGAGCAACAGATGGCAGTGTGAGCTGACTGTCTAATTGACGGATTGATTGGTTGATTGGTTTGGAAAAGCTACTAGCTGCTGCACTCACTCGTTCCGGTGCAATCAACACCTCGGCGATTCTTTGGATTGTAAAAGGAGGACCTTCATCTTCTCCTCGAAACCGCCTACTGCCTGCAGACGAATTCCTTCTACTCGTTCTCTCGCCCGCATGCCCCAGCATTTGAAGCAGACGTTTCCGTCGTTGTTGAAAAATTTCTTCGGATGAAACCGATGGCACTGGGGCTTTCGATGGCGATGGTGGTGGCTTTTTGGAATTGTTACTCCCCCCTTCTGTGGTTTTGGAGGCTGCGTGACCGCTGTCGCCATTGACCAGGGGTGGCGGTGCTGTGGATTTGGCTTTTTCGGAAGTGGCCGTGGCGCTTCTCCGTTTTTCGGCGGGTGACAATTTGTAGCCTCCTTTGTGACGATACCAATGATCCAAGACCATATCCAATGCCATTCGAAAAACATCCCGTAAACAGTTGTAATTCTCCAGTGAAGACATGGCTTCTTCCCCCAGTGACGCCGGTGGGGGTAACTTGGACGTTGGTATTGCCACTCGTTGGATATTTCTAAGGTGATGATCCCTTCGTTCCGTACTCAGTTCGCTGCAAGATGTGGCGGATGTTCCCTCGGAATCACATTCGTATTGGGTGGAGTCATCCGGTTCACTTCCCGACGTCCGGCCACTACCAACGGATCCAGGTGAAAAGACACCCCCAGCAGCAGCACTCGATGCCGATGTCCGTATCAGGAACAGCGGACGCTTTCTACTGCCAGTCTGAGTTTTGGTCCCCCCTTCTTGTACTTGCCTCCTCATTCGGTTCACCTTGACTCCATTTCGGTGTTTCTTTCGAGTGGCTTTGGCGACTCCAACTCCAGGTCCAGTAGACGGGAATCGGTTTGCGTATGGTTTTCGACTCCCCAAAGCATACTTGTTTGTGTTGTTGGCGGATGCAGGGAGTTTGCTGTTGTTGTTGGTTACGGGAGGAGCTGGTGCTGGTTCTGCAGCTGTGGAGGCGGCTTGGCCGTTCTTGGCATGGTACCAAGGAAGCCAAGAGCAGGATCCAGTCCTAGCCACTTCACCCAGTATTCTCTTGATATCAGCCGGGAGAGGAGGAGCGTCTCCTTTGGAGTTCTCTTCTTTGGTGTCGCCAGAAGAACTATTACGGGCCTCATTCGTCACAGTATTATTTGTCGAGATATCCATGGCCTCCGGAGCGGCCAATTGATTGCTCCCGTTGACACGGGTCGTTTCCGTCACTACAGACGATGATGACATGTTTTCCACACTACTGGGCTTGGCGGCGGCGATTGTTGAGTGCGTCGCTCCGGCTACGGCCGACATGTCTGCTCCCAAAGTAGTGTCGTGTGCGGTTCCCTTTTCAGTTCCACTTCTTCACCTAAGGATCATCCCGTTTGGCATTTCTTCTACCTAACCTTCACGAAAGCTGATCCGGAATTTTGGGTGTGGTGTGGTCTCTGGATAAGTTGGATTGGTGCTGATCAGAATTCGTGAACAGGGTGCTCTGGGTCGCTAGTATAGTATCTACTAGCTAGCTAGCGAGTTGCTTTGACTATCGACGCGTCACCACAGCGTGAGCGAATAGAATAGCGATGATCTTTAAGAACAGACTGTGGTTGCCTCCAATGCTGCGACCACAGATTACACAAAGACTCTACACTGTCTCAATAGCTACTAACTGGATAGGCAATCGGAGCCTTGGTCGTAGAGTTCCTTCGTGTTGCAAATAATGGTCGTGCGCTGCTGGTGCCATTGTGCTGTTGTTCTGTTTGCTGTTGCTGTGGTGGTGGGCATGCTCCATGTTATCCCTAATGATAGTAGTCTGCTGCATTCAGAAGGGTTTCCCACGAGAGGAACGGACGATGCGTCGGCTCGCAGGAGTGGACTCTAAGTCCGTTCCAAGCTCACAACAATACTCCCCTCCTCTCTTTGTAAAAAGGGGTCTCCATGCATGGAGGCAGCCAGCGTGCGATGAGAAGTGAAGTAAGTGTTCATTCGAGTTTGGTTCTTCAATTAATTGAGATTGAAGATTCGATTCGATTCATTCAAGGAAGTAGGCCAGCACACATGCCTCCTACATGCAGCGCTATTAGTATCATAGGACGCTTGTTGCGGCTGCCGGCCTAAGCGGCGCTATAGTCTCATTGCCAGCCAGGTGAAATCGTTCGCGATGTTGTACCTCGCAAGGCGCTACTAGTTTATCAGATGAGCAAGATTTGCAGAAGCGCTGCTTTCTAAGAAGTTCAAAGAGTCTTACTCTCGATAGTCTGGCGGTCACTTCTCCAGTTGCCGAGTTTGCCACCTTTTAAAGCAAGATTACGATTACGATTTTGTTGCATCCAACTCGCATCGTTCCTTCACATGGCGCAATGCGGTGGCTGGGTACCGGTACCGTGCCGTTGTTGTCCGCCTTACCGATGATTGATTTGTAATCTCTGGGCTGAAGGTGGTGATGACTTCCGTTCCATGAAAAAAGATATTGAACCAACCAAGGGGTGGACGGTTCCTTCCCGTTCTCCTTCAAGTTCTCGCATGATCGGATCTATGCTAGCCAAATTGTTATTTCTGCCAATGCTGACAGCAACGTGAGATGAACGTGCTTTCAAGGGATCTGTGGATCAGCTGTTGATGTGAGCAGGTGATAGGTCTTTGTAGGCAGAACAAAGCTGCACTGACTGACTGACTGCAAACATCTGAACTCTGCACCACTATTAGGCGGCAGGATTCCCATTCAGCAATCTGTTTTTCCCATTGGCCGATCTAGATCCAGCCAACAAATGGTATTTTCCCATTACTTTGAGCGGGGGACAAGGAGCAGAGCAAAGCTGCACTGACTGCAAAATTGGGAATGTGGAAGCTTCGTGCCTGGACTGGCGTTTTGGCTGATTGAACAAACAAACCGCCGCGTTCGCCATCGGTGCAGTAGTACCTGTAGCTCTCTTACTGACTCTTCCATAGGTACGGTTCCTGTGAGAGCAATGGTAATGGACCCCAATGACCCCAGTTGCGTGGTTGCGTTTTGTTTGTCGTGACTTCTTCTATCAATCAAGCTGAGACCAGGGTGATGATGGCAAGACCAACAAGAATTATTGGAGGGTGGCTTTAGTTGCGTAGACTAGCTAGCTAGTCTCTGAAACTGGAAAGCAAGCTTTAGATATCGGTACCACCGGTACGGGCCATACCGGAAACCAATGTTCCTGTTCAATCCAAACCCAACTGGAAAGCCACATCAGATTCTGATGGCTGAAGTGCTTTCAGAACAGAAGGAACTTGCTGGCTTGGGTCGGTGGTGCGGAAGCAACAGTCTTTTGGTTTCTGCGAATTTATTTGCTCAGACGATTGATAATCCGCATTCCGCATCTCTAAACAGCTCAAGCAGATACCAGGTGCCTGTACCGGTACAGTACTAGCTACTAGCTAGTACATGTAATACATCATACTCTTCCCTTCTCAACATCTACACGCCTAATGACGCTCTTGAAGGTTTCACCTCCTATTTCCTGAAGATGCTTCATAAAAAATTATCTTCAAGACCTTACTAAATAAAATAAATCCTGATAGCTTCCTCGTTTGTTGAGTCAGCTTGTGTCACAGTGAGTCGAGTCAGAACATTTCGGTGACCAACCCTTAAAACATGGCTATTATTAATTCCTTCTCCTTATGAAATGACTGGATTTGTTCCAAGTTCCCAGTTCCGAGGTCAGATTCTTTGGTAAGATCTCTGTGGAGGCGAAGGTAACACGTACTCAGTACGGCTGAATGGCTGAATACGAGGACGGTAGGACTGTACGGTACCGGTACACTGTACCAGTGCCGGTGACAGTGGGTATGGTACGGTAGTCTCTAGCTAGAGTACCAGGTACCAGGTACTGGTACCGGTGTCAAAACTCAAGCTCGAGAGCCACGCAACTAACAAGGAGAAACCTCGATCGGATAGCTGATTGCATCAAGATCCCCGGAAGTCGTCAGGTCCACTTCTATGATACTAGATACTAGCTACTACGTATAGCCAAGAGTAGTCTAACTCAAGAGGCCAAACCAGTTCTACATGTACGCTCTACGATGTATGTTCTACTGGTACGTTGCGTTGCATGAGAACTGCCATTGCCCAGGTCCGAGTAGGTCTCTCTCCTCAGCTCCATTCTTGGCTTTTCGCTTTTCGTCCTCTCACAATTTCTTCATTTCGGCTTTCAACAGTTGAAACTATTTAATACTAGTAACCACAATCTAATCATTGCACCTCCCTCTCAATCGCTCTTGCAGAACTTTTTTAGCAGCCATGGGTATACAGAACGGCAAAGCTTCCTCCGAAGTTGTTGACGATAAAAGTGTGTTCGACGATGAAGTTTCGGAAGTGGGATCGATTTCCTCCCTCGAGGGTACAATGGAATATGTCAGGGCAGACGAGCAAAAGAACCAGGCGGATGCATTGCTGAAGCGTGCTGCCAAGGATACACGCCGTGTACGCAACTGGCGGTTGATTGTAACTTTTGCCATCTTGGTTACTGCTGCGGCTGTCACTGCAGTGACTTTCACTTCGCTGAGGAAAGAGGAGGAGTACAACTTTGAAACCGCGGTACGAATGTCGTCTGATTGGAATGCTTGCTTCCTGTTTCTTCTTTACTAACGTGCAGTTCCCTTTCGCTTGGGCCTTCTGAAGTTTGAGCAGTTCTCTCTGACTGTGGCTGATTCTGCGATCCAAAGTCGAAAGGACCTACGTCATGCGTATCAGCAGCTTGCCAATACAATCTCGGCTGCGGCTGAAGCCTCCGGTGCTGCCTGGCCTTTCTTCACCATGCCATTGTATCAGAAGTATGCTCAGGATTTCCTCGTGCAGTCTCGTACCGAGCTAATTTCCTTTCGGAATCTTGTTCGAGGTTTCGAAAGGGAGGCGTTTGAAAAGTTTGCAGAGGCGAACTACAAGCAAGTCATCGAGGAAGCTCACATGATCAGATGGGGCGACACTTCGAGGATCAATCCTGAAAAGGCCAACTACACGAGCTACATTTGGGAGCGAACCACGGAAGGACCAGCCCGTGACATTTTTCGCGACTACTACTTTCCAACTCTGGTGACTGCCCCTCCTCCCCGTGACTATTCGATCTACATGTGGAACGTTGGCTCTCATCCGAACTACCAACCAGTTGTCGACGCCGCTTGGAAACTCGGAAATGAGACCTGTATCACGAGACTCCTGCACTACACTGGAGCTTCGAACACGTTCTTCACAAAGGACGAGCACGATGCCATGCATGACCCCCTTCCGCCCGGAGAGAAAGAGCACCCGCATTCTTTTTTCTTCCACCCGTAAGTTTCAAATGGCTGCTGAAAAACTTATGCTTCGTGCCTCTTTGGTCTGATCATCTTTGGTTTTTCCACGATATCCCTTTACAAATAGAATCAAGGAGAGTGTCACTGACCCCAATTCCCGGTTGGTGGGTATGATGAGTGGAGGGGCCCCATGGGACCAAAGCCTTCGTGGTTTGCTCCCAGATGGTGTGAATGGCATTCATGCTGTCATTGAAAACAACTGTGGTGATATCTTTACCTATGAGATCAATGGGAAAAAGGCTGATTTCCTAGGTCTTTCTGACAAACACGAAGCCAAGTTCGACCGTTTGAAGCATGAAGTGGACTTGGCATTTCATTCTCATCCTGACTTTGCAACGACGCCAGGGCATTGCATGTACAAGATGGTAAGATGCCTGTAGGTCTGTTGAAGAAGTACTCCTCTAGCAACAATCACTCTGACAATGCTGCCCTATCCCTCTCTAGACGGTTTACCCTACAGAAAAGTTCAGAGCTGAATACAACACAAGCACTCCAATAATTCAGTCTATCATCGTTGCAGCAACCTTTGTTGTCATTGCTTTGGCTTTCTTCATCTATGATGTTGCTGTGGCCCATCGTAACAGAAAGCTCATTGTGGATGCCAGCCGGGCCAACGCAATTGTATCTCAGCTCTTTCCTGGGGACATCGCCGACAAAATGATGCACCCATCGACGAGGGAAAGCCTCAAAAAGGTTGGCTCTGATTCGTCAGAATCGTCTCCCAGGGATAGATCCAGTAAAGCCCTTGCGGAGCTCTACCTTGAAACCAGTATCATGTTTGCCGACATCAGGTATGTACCTTTTTCCGTCAGCTTGAACCGCTGTTGCTCCGTGTCGCCTCACCTATAGTCCCTTTTCTGTCTGCAGCGGTTTCACTGCTTGGTCGAGTGTTCGTTCCCCAGACCAAGTATTTGAGTTGCTCGAGACCGTGTACCGCCACTTTGATGAAATTGCGAAGAACCGCGGTGTGTTCAAGGTACGTACTAGGCACTCATTTGTTAGCTTGCGTCCAGGTTTCACTTGTGTTCTAATCCATGCATATCATCGCGTTCGATCAGGTCGAAACGGTTGGCGGTAAGGTCGTGTGTGATCCAATCAATCGCATACAAATGACAAGATTCTAACCTGGCGTTTCTCGTTCTTAGATTGTTACGTGGCCGCCACAGGAATCCCCACGCCTAGAAGAGACCACGCCCTGGTCATGGCTCGTTTTGCTCGAGAGATCATGGCGAGGATGCACCTACTTTGCAAAAAGCTCGAAGAGTCGCTTGGACCCGACACTGGTGATCTCAATCTTCGGATTGGAATCCGTACGTTCCTGGGTCATTGATTGACTGTTTGAACATTGCCCGCTCTCACACCCTTCGTATCATCGAACTCGTCGCTGACAGATTCTGGCCCAGTCACTGCTGGTGTGTTGCGTGGGGATCGGGCAAGATTTCAGTTGTTTGGGGATAGTATGAATGTTACCTCTCGAATGGAAAGCAGTTGCAGCCCAGGCAAGATCCTGGTCTCCAAGGAGTTTTCAAGTTTGCTTCAGGCTGCAGGAAAGTCTTCTTGGTTGGCGGAGAGAAAGGATTCAATCAATGCAAAGGGCAAAGGTGAACTGACGGCATTCTGGCTCATTGGCGCGAGCTCTGGAGATAGGCGATCTGCTGCAAGTGCCGCTTCTTTTGGTTCAGTCAATGAATTGGGGGCCTGTGGCGACCGCAAAGACCGCCTGGTCGATTGGTGCTGCCAGACGTTTGAGCAGCTGCTGAAGCAAATCGTCGCCCGAAGAAATGCTTTGAAACCGTCGGCCAGGTCTTCGTGGTCATCTTCTCTGACCGTGGTGAAAACACCGGTTTCACCGCCAATGTCTGGAGGAAACTTTTTCTCTGAAGTGAGGGAAATCATCACGCTTCCGGAATACGATGCCGAAGCGGAGACGAAAGAGTGCGATCCTGACTCGGTTGTCTTGGACGAGCAGGTCGCCAAGGAGCTCCGTCTATACGTCTCCAAGATCGCCGACCTCTATAGGCCAAACCACTTTCATGGGTGAGTGTAATGGACTCTTCGGCGTCCACACGTACATCGCACCACCACCAACCTAACATTGTTTTTGCAACACCCTCCAGTTTCGAACATGCTGCACACGTCCTTATGAGCATTGTGAAGCTAATGCAGCGCATCGTCACACCAAAGAAGGGCGACGAAAGCGAAGATCACTCCTCTTACGGTATCACAAATGATCCGCTCACCTGGTTTGCGTGTGCTTTTAGTGGCCTTATTCATGATGTTGACCACGTGGTAAGTTTGTTATGCTTGGCACACGCTTAGCCAGATCATGTCCCGTTTTGGCTAACCCACAAAACTGCAACTTGATTGTTTCTCTCCAGGGTGTCTCCAATGCCCAGCTGATCAAGGAAAACGTCCCCATTGCCCAGAAATACAAGAAGAGCGTGGCCGAGCAAAATAGTCTGGCATTGTCCTTCAGTCTCTTGGAAGAGCAGCAATTTGATCACTTCCGTGCAGCGATTTGCTCCACTCCCGAAGAGCAAGCTCGGTTCCGGGCATTGGTTGTAAATGGTGTCATGGCTGTAAGTGCAAGCGTGTCCCAGCATCAAGCTTGAGAGCAATCGCGACCCCACGACACTCACCCTCGGCACCTTCTTTCGCCCGTCTTCAGACCGATATAGTCGATAAGGAACTCAAAGGACTAAGAAATGCCCGCTGGGCTCGTGCCTTCAAGAATGATGAGGGACCTGAGGAAGAGTCCTACAGGGAAACACAGAGAGAAGAAATCAACCGAAAGGCAACAATTGTGGTATGTCCCATTGCTGCAGGTTGTTTTCCTCACGCAGCTTCGATGCTTACCATCAATTGACATTTTCTGTTCTGCAGATTGAGCATCTCATTCAGGCCAGTGATGTGTCCCACATGATGCAGCATTGGCACGTTTACAGAAAATGGAATGCTCTCTTTTTCAAGGAATGCTACCAGGCCTACAAATCAGGAAGATCCGCTGCTGACCCTTCGACCTTCTGGTACAAGGGTGAGATTGGTTTCTTTGACTTCTATATCATACCAGTAAGTTTCATCGTGCCATCTCATGCAGCCGTTGCATCACAAGTTTTCTTAGTTCTGTACGCCCGTGCCTCATTCCATCAACATAGCTCGCCAAGAAACTGAAAGAATGCGGTGTATTTGGTGTTTCCAGTGGCGAGTACCTGCAATATGCGCAAAAGAACCGCGACGAATGGGTTGCACGCGGCGAAGAGGAAGTGGCAGAGATGCTTCGCCTTGTTGGCCAAGAGGCCCAGGACGATACCACTGGAGAAAAGGGTGGTACCCCCAATGCAATATAAAATCTCCAACTCCAACATTCCACCTTCCAATAACACAAAATACTCAAGTGAACCACCCATACATGTATGGTTGGGCATACCGCAGGGCTGTGTGGCATCAAGGAGATTCACGACAGAAAAGGTCAGAACGGGGAATCCAAATCAAAGAGGAAGCGAAGGGCTTCAATCACCTGATTTGGTTAGCTGCGTGTTATTAATGATTGAATGTATGTAAAAAATTTCAAAGAAATTGTGTTGCTCAGACCACCGAAGTATGCTGACAAGAAATCTGGAGCGTACAGTTCAAAGGAAGATTGCGTTGTGCCTTGAACCCTCACTCAGTGGAAGCACGGGGAACTATCGCTACTCATTTCGTTGATGAGCAAGACTTCAAGTTTCGCTCCTGAATGACAAAGTCCAATCCTCCCACGATGCATGCCACCTGTGCGTCATTACATTGCTCGGGTGTTGTTGAATATGGGTAGACCTCGGTGGTGGTGGCATACTCAGCGTTCGTGACACCCATACAAAGGCCCAAGCTGCCGGGCTTTGGAATTACAATGACTCCTTCTTGGGAGACTTCTTCTGGATCAGCTGGGGCAATGTGTGTGACTTTTCAAACGGAGTCAATCATGGCCTTGTGCCATTCGGTTTGGGGATTGGTCTTGTCGGTGACAAGATAAAAGCCATTGGGGATTGTCTCGTCTTCATTCATGGTTTTTCCATCTCGTGCTGCTTTGGGTGGGTCGGTATTCGAGGCCTCGTGCAAGTCTATCAAAATGTGAGCTGGTCGCTGAATACCGGTACCCATAAATATCTTTTCTTTCCTTCATCCAACTATCAATTTTTGGTTCTTACCAAAATGGCACATCCATTGTTCGACACCCAAATCGTTCAAAGACCCAATCAGCGCAGTAGATTCCTGAGTAGCAGGTTCTGGGTTAAAGGATCTGCCTTCAACAACCTCGCCATTGGGATTGAACGAACGGTTGGGATCAACAGCTTTGGAGTTCCAACGCTCAATACATCCGTATCCCCAAGGACTGACACAAGGCGCCACTAGCACATTGAAAGTCTGGCTGTATTCAAGGGCTTTGGTCTTGAGGAATGGATAGCGCCTTGTACTCCTGACGTCTCATATCCATGGACGCCGCCTGTAACCAAAATGCTGGGTTTCGAAGCCTCCCAGTTGTTACTTTTTGACACTATAATGGGTAGCCATCGTCTCTATTCTCAACCGTCAATGTACCGTACTGCTGCGTCGTAAAGCCCTTGATGTCAGTTAGAAGTTTGGAAAGCACTTCCTCTTGATACGACCGGTGGATCTTTCGAGATTCCAGCCATTCCGTCTTTTCTTTTGGGCCCCAGGGAACACCGGGAGTGCCAATTGGATGGGCGGCCACTGTCGCTGTCCTTGTGGTTGCACTTCGAGATAACAAAATAAGTGTTGTTGGTACCAGTACTCTCATCGTAAAATAATAGACATGCAAGGGGATGAGCAAATGTTGCTATAGCCCTGTGCTGTAGTGTCCTCTACCGTATTGCATACCGTACAAATGATAGTTTGGGTGAGACTTCGCTAGTGCGGTTCTCTGCCGGTACAGTTTGTTAGAAAAGGAATCCAATTTTAAAATTGTTTACTTTGGCTGGTAATTTTCGATTGGATTGCATTGGATTGCATTGAATTGGATTGCATTGCATTGAATTGGCATTTACTATACAAATAACAGTACTTTCATGGATCCAATTCAATCCAATCCAATCCAATTCAAACCAATCGAATCCAATTCAAATTATTTGAAGGCCAAAATGACATTTTTTAAGTTTCAACTGACGTTTTAGTTAGGTAAAAACTCAGTTGTCTATCTATTTCAATGTACCGGTACCGGTAATTCCGGAGTATCCATTGCAATGTAGCGCCATGAGCAAGTTTGCTCATCCCCCAACGCTGCCATCAACGTGTTCTGGCTACCGGTATGCATACTACGGTATGGTAGTACTGTTGGCTGTTTGGTGTGTGGTGTGTGGGGTAAGCCCAGCTACGGTAGCGGGATTTGATTTGGGTTCACGGATCGCTTTGAGACGTGCCTGGTGCTGCATCCATCCAGCCATGCACCCACCAACCGACCTGCTGCAATCAATCTCTCGCGGAAACCACCCTTCCATCAGAATCCCTCTTTCGAACAAACTATCAGCTGCAAACGCTACTATCCCCATAACAAGCATGAAAGTCACGCTGCCCGCTGCCTCGGAAAAGAAAGAGGAAGAGAAGAAGACAGAGGAAATGACGGAAACAAACTTCGCTGCTTCTCTGCAACAACTCCGCTCGGGAATTGACCGTCGCCTTGTCAGAGTACACCCAGTCAACTATCATATGGGTAGAACCATGAGACGCCAGTTTTCAAATTGGAGTGTCTTGCTCCCTGGATTTAAAGAGCTTCAAGCGGTTGATTGGCAATCCGTTGTGCAAGCCGCTGCAAGTGAGGATGTTTCTGTGGATCGTGCATTAGGTTGCTTTCTTGGAATGGTAGCGGGGGACAGTGTGGGAGCTCCGCTGGAGTTCACCCCGGCCACTGGTAAACCTGTGAAACAGAGAGGGCGGGATGAGTCCTATGTCAAATTTGATGCTGACGCATTCCACTACCACAAAGAAGAGAACGCCTTTGGATTGGAACGAGGGCAATGGACGGACGATGCCTCCATGGGATTGTGTCTCGCGGAATCCATGCTGGCTCGTGGTGTGTATCATGGAGGAGATGCCAGAGTACGATTTCATATGTGGTGGTTCTTTGGCTACTGCAATGCGTTTCGCCATGATTCTCATCAAAGATCTTCTGTGGGATTGGGCGGCAACATCGGCCAGAGCTTGCAGGATCTAGTGTTGAGGTACACAAATCGATTTGCCGAGCACGTCCCTGGACGGTATGAAGCGACTGGAGAAGATGCAGGAAATGGATCCTTGATGCGCTTGGCTCCTGTCCCCATCAGGTATCACGCAGATGTGGAACTGGCAATGAACACGGCTGAAGAATCGTCTTATGCTACCCATCCAGGTCCCGGTGCAGCTCATTGCTGTCGCTTTGTGGCTTTCTTCATTTGCAAGGCGTTGGAGCGCCCTCAAGATGACACTACAGACATTGCTACCTTTACCGACTCCGTCATCAAAGAGTTCCTTGCTGGTTGCGACGGCAACAGATCTTTGGGCTCGTTGCTTCAGTCGAAACCGCCGTCCCGCAAGGAAGCTTGTTGGAACTGGAAGGCAGATCGTCTGCTGATTGAAGAGACGCTGGCCAACCGTGGCAGTTTCTACAACGGATACCCGGTTTCAGCCGAATACTTTGGTTCCTATTGTATGGATGGGTTAGCCATGGCTCTCTGGGCCTTGGTACATTCGGAGAGTATGACGGATTGCATTTTGAAGACGGTGAACTTGAGAGGAGATGCTGATACAACTGGATCCATTGCAGGGCAGCTAGCGGGGGCATTCTACGGGTACAGCTCGTTTTGTCAAGACTCTTGTGGCAAGAAAATATTGAAAGACATTCGACAATGGGATCCACTCTACGAGTTGGAGTTGCGAGCTTTATTGCTGCACCAGGACGGTGCGAATGGAGCAAAGGAAGCAGCAAGATCATTGAGCGCCAACGCCAAAGGAACAACGCCGCAAAGCGCTGCGATGGCACCAAAACCTTCATGCGCGGAGGATCCTTCGAACATGCGTGGAAAGTACTAGTTAGACACTCAACGCTGGAGTCCGTTGCAAGTAGGAAACGAAGTTGCCACAGGTTTCGTAGTGTGAGATTTGTCAAATATGAAAGTTTATTAGTTGTATAAATATATGAGTGATATCACAAGAACAGAAAACATGCGCATTGCATGGCAAGCTGCGAACACCTGCAACGGCGAAAGAGCGCGGTACTTGTCTCAGGCATAACGAGACAGACTTTACACCTGCCCATATCATACTCTGTTGTCATCGCTGCTGTCTTCGCCACTGCTGTCGTCGGACCCGTAACTTCGATATGCTGCCGCCTCCTCTTGGGTTAAGCAGAACTCTTGATTTCGAAGCGCGGAGGCTCTAGTTTTCGCGGTACTCGGTATAAAATTCACCGTTTGATGGTCCCCGTTGTTGCACCTTGTGCATGTGGAACTTGTACAGCGATGGACATCAATTCCCAAATGCCTTTGTCCAAGATCCTTTGAGTCGGGCGATATGACGCCAACGAAGCTGTTGTTGCTCTCATTGTTGTAAACTTCGTGCTCCATGATTGTTGGCAGTCCTCGTCGATCAGTATAGAAGGTATTTCGTCTCGTTTCGAGACAGTTTTCGCATCTTGTTGATAGGTAACGCCGTCCATCCTTGGTGTAATGATAAAGTCCTTCGTGAAAGCTGCCCGGAGGATCCCCTGTCCCCACCATCACGAAATCCGACGCCATCATTTCATTGTATTCGCTTGCTGTTAGCGTTCTTCTCTGTTTCTTGTAGAGCAATAGACCAATCAAGAGCGCGGCAATCAAGGGCATAGAGACGGCCAGGGCTGTGCGCGTCGCCTCAGTTTGTTCACCGGTGGGAACTTCTGGTGTCTTTCCGCTAACTGGTGGCAAATGAATGAAGACCGCATCATCCGTAATGTTTGTCGCATTTTGACCACGAGTTGAATTGGAAATATCGTCGTCGTCGCCTGCGAATACATCCGTTTCGTTGGACGCAGCTTCAAGAATGATCCCATTTCCACTGCCGGCATCTTCACGGTCGCTATCAAGATCATCCAAATTACTTCCAGTTGCGTTATCCATGCCGTCGTCAATAATATCGAATGCACCAATCACAGAATTGCCATCTACATCAATATATGTTGGGAATGAGCTTGGGTTGCTACTAGTGCTTGGTGCAGGTGTTGGTGGCACACTGGGAATTGAGCTAGGGGCCTGACTGACTGTTGGTTGCATTGTAGGAGAATCACTTGGGATACTACTTGGCTGTGAACTGGGTACATGTGCACCGATTACAGCAAAGCCATCTGGATGAATGTAAGTTGGGTGTGAACTTGGCATGCTGCTTGTGCTTGGTGCAGGTGTTGGTGGTGAACTGGGAATTGAGCTAGGTGCCTGACTAACTGTTGGTTGCATTGTAGGAGAATCACTTGGCATGCTACTTGGCTGTGAGCTAGGTACATGCGCACCAATTACGGCAAAGCCATCTGGATGCATGTAAGTTGGGTGTGCACTTGGCATGCTACTTGTGCTTGGTGCAGGTGTTGGTGGTGAACTGGGAATTGAGCTAGGTGCTTGACTAACTGTTGGTTGCATTGTCGGAGTATCACTTGGGTTGCTACTTGGCTGTGAACTGGGCACATGCGCACCAATTACAGCAAAGCCATCTGGATGAATGTAAGTTGGGTGTGCACTTGGCATGCTACTTGTGCTTGTGCAGGTGTTGGTGTGAACTGGGAATTGAGCTGGTGCTTGACTAACTGTTGGTTGCATTGTTGGAGTATCACTTGGGTTGCTACTTGGCTGTGAACTGGGCACATGGGCACCAATTACAACAGAGCCATCTGGATGAATGTAAGTTGGGTGTGCACTTGGCATGCTACTTGTGCTTGGTGCAGGTGTTGGTGGTGAACTGGGCAATGAGCTTGGTGATTGACTAACTGTTGGTTGCATTGTTGGAGTATCACTTGGGTTGCTACTTGGCTGTGAGCTAGGTACATGGGCACCAATTACAGCATAGCCATCTGGATGCATGTAAGTTGGGTGTGCACTTGGCATGCTACTTACAGTTGGGGCAGAGGTTGGACCAGTACTTGGAAAAGAGCTTGGTGATTGACTGTCAGATGGCTGCAGGCTTGGGACATCACTTGGGATGCTACTTGGCTGTGAGCTAGGTACATGTGCACCAATTACAGCAAAGCCATTGGCATCCATGTAAGTTGGGAATGTTGTAGGCATACTACTTGTGCTAGGGGCAAGGCTTGGTTGAGAGCTGGGAATCTCACTTGGCACATCACTTGGCATATCACTGGGTACTTCACTAGGCATATCACTTGGCACTGAGCTTGGCAATTGGCTGGCTGATGGTGGCAAGCTTGGGACATCACTTGGCATGTCACTTGGTTGTGAACTGGGCACTAGAGCACCAATCACAGCAAAACCATTGGCATCAATGTAAGTTGGGTGTGAAGTCGGCATGCTACTTGTGCTTGGTGCAGGAGATGGGACATTGCTTGGCATGTCGCTTGGCACATTACTAGGAATGTCACTTGGCATGTCACTTGGGACCTCACTTGGAGCTTGACTTGGGGAGAAGCTCGGTCTTCCACTTGGTAATCCACTTGGCATGGCACTGGGTTCTGAACTGGGCATTGAACTTGTTGTTGGGTGCATGGTTGGAACCTCACTTGGTTGTGCAGTTGGCTGTGAACTGGGTACATGTGCACCAATTACTGCAAAACCAAATGCATGAATGTAAGTTGGGTGTGAACTTGGCATGCTGCTTACAGTTGGCGCAGCTGTTGGACCTATACTTGGTGTCGAGCTGGGAGACTGACTAGCTGTGGGCTGCAAGCTTGGTACATCACTTGGTGTGTCACTTGGTTGTGAACTGGGGACATGAGCACCAATCACAGCATTGCCAAAGGCATCAATGTATGTGGGATGAGAACTTGGCATGATGCTTGTGGTTGGGACAGCGCTGGGCGAATCACTTGGCATTGAGCTTGGTGATTGGCTTGCAGATGGTTGCAGGCTTGGGGCACCACTAGGCTGGCTAGATGGCTGCGAGCTTGGGACTTGGGCCCCAATCACAGCAAATCCATTGACATCCATGTAAGTTGGAAATGAAGTTGGCATACTACTTGTGCTGGGGGCCAAACTTGGTTCAGAACTGGGAGTCTCACTTGGCATGTAGCTTGGCATATCACTGGGTGCATCACTAGGTACATCACTTGGCAGTGAGCTTGGCAATTGACTGGCTGACGGCGGCAAGCTTGGAACATCGCTTGGCTGAGTGGATGGCTGTGAGCTGGGGACATGAGCACCAATCACAGCAAATCCATTGGCATCCATGTAAGTTGGGTGTGAAGTTGGCATACTACTTGTGCTAGGAGCAAGACTTGGTAGAGAGCTGGGAATCTTGCTTGGTGTATTGCTGGGTATGATACTTGGAGTTGCACTGGGTGACAAACTAGGCATATCACTTGGCGATCTACTGGGCATGCTACTAGGCATAGAACTTGGTACATCACTGGGCAATGCGCTTGGTGATTGACTAGCAGACGGACTTGTACTTGGGGCATCACTTGGTTGTGCACTTGGCTGCGAACTGGGTACATGTGCGCCAACTACTGCAAAACCATCTGGATGAATGTAAGTTGGGTGTGCACTTGGCATGCCACTTGTACTTGGCGCAGGAGTAGGGGCAGCACTGGGCAAGTCACTTGGTGAGGTGGTTGGCAACGAACTGGGCAAGCCACTTGGTGAGGTGGTTGGCAACGAACTTGGGTTGAACGTTGCAAGTACGCTACCACTGAGAGACAGAATTGACGGTGCTTGGCTGGGAAATTCTGATGGCGAACCGCTAGGCGCTGAGCTTGGCATGGAAGAGGTTGATGGGCTAAGGGTCGGAGCAACGGATGGACTTGTAGTGGGAAAGATGCTCTCCACAAAGAACCGATCGTTTTCATTGGCATCTCCTGTTCCAGCTCCCGCAAACGCTTGGTCATAGGTATCCCCAAGATATTTGACGTTGCGCAGTGTTGGCATGCTTTGGGAATCCAGGACTACGTTTGTTTTCATTGCTCTTTCCAAGGCATCTTGGATCGACGCAATCACATAACCCACATCGTCATTATCATGTGCCATGATTGTCATGTGACCCTTCACGACAGTGCAAAACTTGTATCTCGATTTGAACATACACGGGGCTAAGACATGAACAAAGAGGCAAGGTGTGTTTGTGAGACATCAAATTCATCATCTTTTTAAAACTTGACATCAGACCGATCCAATATCAAACTTACCCTCCGAGGCAGCATCAAAGCCGCCTGAAGAGACAGAAACAACTCCAAGTTTTCGAAGAAACCGAATTTCGAGCTCTCTTTGACTGATTTCGTGTTCTGTCAGCTTTCTTCCACCAAGGTCCGTCGATTGTCTCCCAAAACACCAGAAAACGTGCGATGAGACTGCGTGGAACATCTTGGTTTCGAGTTGTCGCAGGAAGTTCATATCTGGAGTGTCGGCCTCAACGGCATACCAGAACTCAAACGGAAAGAACTTCAGATCCTCCGCTGCCTTTGTCTCTCCCACTACACAGTTCAGATCATCGTTGTAGTATCGATATGCTCGATCTTGCCGCAGTTGTCTATCTGGACTGTTTGGCTGTACTGCATCATTGCCACGAATAATGTCAGCCAACGCATCCAATGGACACGACGCCAACAACAGCAGCAGCCATCGTATTGATGGCATCTTGGGTGTGATGCGTGGATTGTTGTTTTGATTGCTCTTCTTCTCTACTACTACCGGCAAGGTTCATGTATCGTACATAGCGATGGATCAACGGCTTGGGGCCTTTCCACAGAGTAGCATATCCCTGGGACACTTGCACATCCAGGGCGAACAGTTGACTCATGTGTTACGCCTTCATTCATCTCGCTAAAATTATGAGCGCGTACCTCGAGCCTAATTACCATCATTGCGCCAAAATCCGTACCGTCACATCTAAACCTCAGTGTAATTACCGTAGCCAAAAGCAAACGATAAATCCAAAAAAGTACTTTTTTGTAGCAAAAGTAAGATCACTCGACTCCCGCAAGTTAGACGACCATGCTCAGGACATCATTGTTGTTCCGTCAGAGACACTCATCCGCTTGCTTCTGCGGTGGCAGCTTCCTGATAATCGTCTGGCATACCAGGTTAAAGGTAGACCTACTGTAGCATAGCAGTACAGTACCCGTGGCTTGTATTAATAATGTGGACGGACGGTCGTTGAGGTCGAAATGTGTGGTGGAGGAAGAAGCAAGCATCCCACCAAGGGGGTGCGCTTTGAGTACCGTATCTATTTGCTTCTTTGACTTGTGAACCAAATGATTGAATCTTCAATCTGCTACATGTACCGTTCCTGGTCATGTACCGGTCCGGGCAGCTATAGAGCTGGTAGTATACCTTTACAATAGCTGCATGATGCCTCAAATGCTGGTCAGTGTTGTTGTTGGGACTCCTACCAGGTACCGGTACTACATTGTATATGTAATAGGAAGAAACGGGGATCTTGAATTCAATACTACAATGAGGAACCTACATTGTACATGTACCTACCGGTAGTACTTTGCCATCGAGCTATCCATTTGTTGGATGCATAAGCTGGATTTCCATGGCCACCTAATCAATTTCTGTCCGATCAGATGCAGCAGGTACGGCTATCTCATACCGGTACCATGGGTAACAACACTTTTCTGGTTTCAATGCATCCACAGAGAACCAGCCACGATAAGCCGGTCCGACTCACCCGGGATGTCTTCACAGCTTTTGAAGTTGGATTAAAATGGGCCAGCGCGATGACGCGAAGGATCTTGCATCTGCTTCTTCCTTTCCGCATTGGCCAGACCACGAATCCAAACAGGTGGCGGATGTTCCCAAAAGACACAACCACCACTGAAAATCCATCACTTCGAAGGGTTGCTACGTTGCTACAGTTGCTGCTAGTATCCCATCTATCATTGATCTGGTTATCTTCATCTTCATTACTCTACGATAGCGATCGAAACAATCAAAATGAAGTTCTTTCTTTCCTCCCTTTCATTGGCTACCCTGCTTGTTTTGCCCAATGGTTCGAACGCCTTTACACTTTTTCCAAACCAGCCTTCCGTCAATACGAGGGGTACTCCTCTGTTCATGAAAGTTGGTGTCTTTTTTGGAACCAGCACTGGAAACACGGAAGAGTGTGCCGAAAAGATTGCCGAGAAATTGGGCGCCGAAGGTCCTTTCGATGTCGATGACGGAGATTCGATTGTGGAGACCTTCCGAAAGTATGATGCCCTGGTTGTTGGTACCCCCACTTGGAATACAGGTGAGTCGACGAATACTGGTGTGCTGCTTTTCGTGGAGATGAAGCATGGTTTGGTGATGGAGAAGAAAATTGAAAGATATTGAATAGCGTGAAAGGGAGCATTATCATCAGAGAGGAAGGAGATAAATGAATCCTTGATTGTTCCTTGTCTAACCTTGATGTTTGGGTATATTTTGGACAGGCGCCGATACCGAGCGATCCGGAACGGGATGGGACGAACTCTACTATGGCAGCATGGAGGGTCTGGATCTAGGCGACAAAAAAGTGGCTGTCTTTGGCCTGGGAGATTCCGTTTCTTACTCGGAAAATTATGCCGACGCGGCCGGTGAATTGCACGACATCTTTGAAAGTTTAGGATGCAAAATGCACGGCTATGTTAGCACCGAGGGATACCTTCACGACGATAGCAAGGCCATTCGAGGTGGAGACAAATTTTGTGGATTGCTGTTGGATATGGTCAACCAGGAAGAACTGACCGACGAACGAATCGACAATTGGATTGCACAGCTTGGCTCGGAAGGATTCTTGGAGGGTGAAGGTGATGCCGTTCAAGATGCCGTGGTCATTGAAGCGGCTGCTGTAATGCCTGATACTCCTCCCACAACGGGCACCATGGAAAACTTGGAGCAGTTGGATGAAAACTCGTCACTTTTGGATCAGTCCATCGCATCTCACGACACTGGCTTCAAACCACACACAAACACAATCACTGGAAAGACCATGTGGACATCTGTGGATGGAACAAAGTGCTTCATTACCGAGGGAACAAGTGCCACTGCAACCAGACAATCCACCACGTTTTCCGCTTAGAAGAACGAAGCATTGGAATGATTCAATCTTCGTTATTCATACCGGTAAAAGTGGGTCCTTTGCTTGCATGCGTTGGAAGTGATTCCATTGAGGAGAATTTGGTTGTGTAGGCCCCTGAATACATGTACATAATTAATTGTAAGGTGGATTCGACTTTCCTACATTTGCTTATCACTTTGCCTTGCGCGTGGAATGGGACCTTAAAAGACGTCTTAATTAATGATTGATTGCCACATTTGCAATTTTGTTCTGTGAGAGGAATCAATCTCATCTATTACCGGTACAATAGTTTGATGCACGAGCTACTGGTTGCTACAAGAACAAAAACAGCGAGAGCAGCATGAATGTAGTATGGAAGAATCTTCAAAAGCTAATTCTTCCAAAGACCACCAAACAACCAAGTTTTCAAAACCTGCATTTTGTTTTCTGCCCAATTCCACCAAAACAAGCGGTACCGCTATAGTTTCCACGCCACGGTCGGCACGATCTTAAAGGCCGACTTTGGTATCGATGTCAGCTCTGCTGTCATAAAATGCGTACGTACAACGCTGACACAATGACGATGCCTCCTCCATCCACTGCTTCAACGCAGAAGAAAGGTGATCGCGATGCGATGATGAAGAAGAAAGGAATCTGTCTGTTTTACCTTTTCAAGTCCTCGTAACTCAGTAGTGCTGCACTTGTTCATTCTTTCTTGATCACCC